AAGCGTTCCATATTTTTAGCTTGCCTCTTGTGGCAGAAAGCTTAATTCGGTGCTTGACTGCTGCAGCTAATCTTCCTCGGGATCTGGCAAAAAGAAAGATTTGGCATGGCATGTCCGAGCTCTGCCCGGAGATAGTCGTACCGATGAATGCAAAAGATAGCAAGGAGGCGAGGCTTATCCAGGATGCTCGTTGAACGACTTCAAAGCGGTCGGGTAAAAACATCCAATACGGAGCTCGTTTAACTAACAAGTGCTATGAAGAGCATGGTCATAATCCTATGGTTTTCTAAGCTGGCCCAAAACAGAATTTTTATTTCCATTAGCCCAAGTTCTGTTAAGGTGAGGAACATTTTACATGTACAAATTTTACCAGGTGCTCTTTCTCCTAAGTGAAAAGTACATTCAAGCTGTGAAATTTCCTCACCAGAAAGGCATATCCCAGACAAAGCCCTTTATGTTCCCAGCAGCAATATCACATGATCAGCTGATTAGCATATGCAAATTTCAGGACATATGTCTTTTGAGGAAAAGAACGCTTTCCACAATAATGCCGTGGGAATTGTCCAAGATGCGTCATCCTTCCAATCTAGATTTGTGAAGAAGCTATGCTTCCTGTACTCTTACTGTTGCATGTGTGGTGAAGGTTTCACCGAGAGAGCACTATTTCTTTCAATATCTCCTCTCCCTAAGTTAGAGAGAGGGGCGCATGGCGTGGTATATATAGCTAGGAGATTCCCTTGTCCAGTGTGCTAGCTTCGGCAGCACATATACTAAAATTGGAACGATACAGAGAAGATTAGCATGGCCCCTGCGCAAGGATGACACGCAAATTCGTGAAGCGTTCCATATTTTTAGCTTGCCTCTTGTGGCAGAAAGCTTAATTCGGTGCTTGACTGCTGCAGCTAATCTTCCTCGGGATCTGGCAAATAGAAAGATTTGGCATGGCATGTCCGAGCTCTGCCCGGAGATAGTCGTACCGATGAATGCAAAAGATAGCAAGGAGGCGAGGTTTATCCAGGATGCTCGTTGAACGACTGCAAAGCGGTCGGGTAAAAACATCCAATACGGAGCTCGTTTAACTAACAAGTGCTCTGAAGAGCATGGTCATAATCCTATGGCTTTCTAAGCTGGCCCAAAACAGAATTTTTATTTCCATTAGCCCAAGTTCTGTTAAGGTGTGGAACATTTTACATGTACAAATTTTACCAGGTGCTCTTTCTCCTAAGTGAAAAGTACATTCAAGCTGTGAAATTTCCTCACCAGAAAGGCATATCCCAGACAAAGCCCTTTATGTTCCCAGCAGCACTATCACATGATCAGCTGATTAGCATATGCAAATTTCAGGACATATGTCTTTTGAGGAAAAGAACGCTTTCCACAATAATGCCGTGGGAATTGTCCAAGATGCGTCATCCTTCCAATCTAGATTTGTGAAGAAGCTATGCTTCCTGTACTCTTACTGTGGTGAAGGTTTCACCTTGAGAGCACTATTTCTTTCAATATCTCCTCTCCCTAAGTTAGAGAGAGGGGCGCATGGCGGGGTATATATATAGCTAGGAGATTCCCTTGTCCAGTGTGCTAGCTTCGGCAGCACATATACTAAAATTGGAACGATACAGAGAAGATTAGCATGGCCCCTGCGCAAGGATGACACGCAAATTCGTGAAGCGTTCCATATTTTTAGCTTGCCTCTTGTGGCAGAAAGCTTAACTCGGTGCTTGACTGCTGCAGCTAATCTTCCTCGGGATCTGGCAAAAAGAAAGATTTGGCATGGATGTCCGAGCTCTGCCCGGAGATAGTCGTACCGATGAATGCAAAAGATAGCAAGGAGGCGAGGCTTATCCAGGATGCTCGTTGAACGACTGCAAAGCGGTCGGGTAAAAACATCCAATACGGAGCTCGTTTAACTAACAAGTGCTCTGAAGAGCATGGTCATAATCCTATCGCTTTCTAAGTTGTCCCAAAACAGAATTTTTATTTCCATTAGCCCAAGTTCTGTTAAGGTGTGGAACATTTTACATGTACAAATTTTACCAGGTGCTCTTTCTCCTAAGTGAAAAGTACATTCAAGCTGTGAAATTTCCTCACCAGAAAGGCATATCCCAGACAAAGCCCTTTATGTTCCCAGCAGCACTATCACATGATCAGCTGATTAGCATATGCAAATTTCAGGACATATGTCTTTTGAGGAAAAGAACGCTTTCCACAATAATGCCGTGGGAATTGTCCAAGATGCGTCATCATTCCAATCTAGATTTGTGAAGAAGCTATGCTTCCTGTACTCTTACTGTTGCATGTGTGGTGAAGGTTTCACCGAGAGAGCACTATTTCTTTCAATATCTCCTCTTCCTAAGTTAGAGAGAGGGGCGCATGGCAGGGTATATATAGCTAGGAGATTCCCTTGTCCAGTGTGCTAGCTTCGGCAGCACATATACTAAAATTGGAACGATACAGAGAAGATTAGCATGGCCCCTGCGCAAGGATGACACGCAAATTCGTGAAGCGTTCCATATTTTTAGCTTGCCTCTTGTGGCAGAAAGCTTAATTTGGTGCTTGACTGCTGCAGCTAATCTTCCTTGGGATCTGGCAAAAAGAAAGATTTGGCATGGCATGTCCGGGCTCTGCCCGGAGATAGTCGTACCGATGAATGCAAAAGATAGCAAGGAGGCGAGGCTTATCCAGGATGCTCGTTGAACGACTGCAAAGCGGTCGGGTAAAAACATCCAATACGGAGCTCGTTTAACTAACAAGTGCTCTGAAGAGCATGGACATAATCCCATGGCTTTCTAAGCTGGCCCAAAACAGAATTTTTATTTCCATTAGCCCAAGTTCTGTTAAGGTGTGGAACATTTTACATGTACACATTTTACCAGGTGCTCTTTCTCCTAAGTGAAAAGTACATTCAAGCTGTGAAATTTCCTCACCGGAAAGTCATATCCCAGAGTTCCAGATCCCATAACTCAGCAACGGTAATGATTGCAGTTTTTAATAAACTACAATAATTACCTTTGCAGAGTTAGTGGACCACTCTACTCTTCCACTCCCCCCCCCTCCCCACCCTCCCCCCCCAAACCCTCACAGTTTAGTAGATATATCTCCAGTGAATACATACATGCATATATTCATTGTGAGTAAAGCCTAAATAGATTACAAAAGCTGCCGTTCTTATGACTGCAGCCTTTGTAAACCCTTCCCCTTTTTTCCCTGAAGAGACTGATTGAGAAGCCTCTAAATTTGTCCACTCGTGCACCGCTGGACTGAAGTCTGTTACAGAGAGTGAGGTAGGCACACTCACGTGGAAGTAGGAAGGAATCCTCCCTGGCTGTTTGATTCACAGCCAAGGAGGTATTCCCTAGTTAATTTATAAAAGTGCTGATAAACTGGCATAAATAGGGGTACTCCTCACCCATAAAGCACTTCAGGCTTTTGGGGTGTGGAGTGGTCCTTTAACTTCACCTATAGTGGCTGTCTACCAGAGAGACAAATAGAAATAGAAACTTTTATAAAATTTACCTTGTTATACCGCCTGGCAGTCAGACAACCAGACCTGCTATTTCCTTGTTGTTTAGCTTAGTGGAGCTAAACTCGAGGCAGGCAACGGCTCAAAGCACCTGCCTTGCAAAGACTTCTCATTGAGCTGCAAAGTATTGTATTTTAGCTCAGTTACTGTTTAGAATGTTATTTTAACTAGAGGAGGGGGTGAGGGGGGGGGCAAGAAACAAAATTTAAAAAAAACTAAAAAAAAAAAAAAAAAAAAAAAAACACACACACACACACACACACACACACACACACACACACACACGAACCACATTATTTGGATATTTTTGTTTTTTATTACCGTAAGACCAAATTGCATTATATATCTAAAACAACTCCTGGGTAGTAAATTGTTGCTTATTTAAAGTACCAGTTCGCCTTGTTGAGAAAACCAAAGTGGACATCACAATAAGATTACGATGAAGTGACAAATTATTTGTCTTTAGCTTTATTTAGTTTGGAGTTATCTGCAGCCTCGGTCTTTGGGTATAACCTTAACTGTACACTCAGTGGTGTGAAATTACTACCCTACTTTTGCTCATAACCTCGTTGAAATGGCCACCTTGTTATATTTTTTTTGTTCCATGTATTGCTTTGACAAAAGTCCCACGGGGACTGAACCATTGATTTTTTTTTCCAACAATATGAAATGGCACTTTAAATAGATAAGCATTTTATTTTGGAATAACTGAAGATGCAGGAGTGCTCACTTTCTGGTGGACCTATTCTATAGTTCTTGTAAAGCACCTGGGTAAGAACTGGGTGGAACAATTTCATTTTAATTCAAAATGTATAAAAAAAAAACTGTACATAAACTTATCAGGACCACATGTTACACTGAAATGAAATGTTGACCTGGCAATACATTTTAAAATATTTGTATTAAAATGAAAGGTGAAAAAGGAAGGAGATGGATATATCTAAAGTATTTTAAAACCAAACTTTAAAATAGTAATAAAACCCTTAATATTGCTGGTTAAAAATATACAGATGGTCAATAAAACCGTATTAGAGAATAAGAGATATAAAAAAAAAAAATTTAAAAAAAAAATTTACATTTCTGAAAGAAAAAAAAAAATTGGTAAAAGTTAGACATATGTCCACTAAAACAAAAATGTTTCGCTTATAATATTTTCCATACAGCAATGAGATTTTTATCTGTCAATGCTACTAAGTATCGAAGTGTTGGGTCCACAGCAACAGTGTTTATCATTGATCCATCCACAATATCTTTAGCTGAGGCAAGAGATGGCCAATCAATTACCTGTTTTGAGATAATAAAAACAGGTTTAGGATTCCTAGGAACCAGCAGCGACACAACAGCACTTATGCAATAATTAAATTAATTTCATGCACAAAAATAAAAAAAAAAAACACATTTCAAATATATACACACACACACGACACATTTTGAGCAATCATAGTGAATTGTAAGATTAAAAACATGCCTGAGGAGTTTGTCCCATGTGTAGACTATATGCTCTAACTACAGCTGAAGAGAACAAATTGTTGAATGTTCTAGTTGGTTAATAGTTTAGAGAGCAGAATACTGAGGCATGGATCATAGGGTGTACTTACTTTGTCTTTTGCATTAACAAGTGAAAGAAATCAACGTAGAAAGGATTATCCAAATATGGGTGTGGCTGCGAGTATTAAAGTATTAAAAGTATTTATAAAAAAAAAAAAAAAAGTGTAAAGTTCTGTGACGGACCACCTGGCACCTCTGTCAAGCACTGCTTCCTAGCACTATAAGCATTGCACCACCATAACCACTGTAAACCCCACAAACCATCGCAGCTTGGTGTCTCGCTTTCCTCCACCCACCCTGGACCCAAGACCAGGATCAAGTTTCCAGTGGGTAGACCTCTCCTAGTCCAGAGAGCAAAGCAGGCTGCTCATATAAGAGCAAGTGTTCTGATCCAAGGGAGTATAGTGATTATAGCAATCCCCAGAGTGTGAATATAGCTCTCCAATCACCCAAACATGAGCCTAGTCTTCATGAAGGGTAAAACGAATCTCGGTTTAATGGACCTGAGCGTAAACCACAGTAGAAATAAATAAATAAATACACAATCATATTGGCTCTCACACTCCCATACAAAAGTCAGATAATCCCTCCTCTGTGCCCAGGAGATAATTGGATTAGATTAGTACAGTTCCTGATCCAATTATCTCAACTCCCGATAACGCTGCCTGGTGCTGGTTAGTGGGACCAACCATCTCCACCCACAGTGCTGCTTGCTTATGCTGGGATGAGAGACCGACAATCTCCTCTCCCTGTGACACTGCCTGGTGCTGGGTAGTGAGACCGGTTGACTTTTCTCCCTGTAGCTCCAGCTGTGGTTTGGGATCTGGACTGGCGGCCCAACATTCTTGTAGGGCCGATGGAAAGATCTCGGTCCCATCTTCACCTGCCAACTGGGGGTCTTCCCAGGACCAGTGTATGAGGTCCCCTACTACTGGAGCTGGTAGCAAAGCAGGGGGTACCTAAGCCAGGTCTTCCCAGCTGTAGGGTTGTAGGTCTGGGTCTGCCACCCAGTTTTCCTGCAAGGTATATTGGGGTCGAATTGAGCGGAGCAGGAGTTGGTAGTCCTGCTCCAGCTCCCACTCTTGTCACCAGAAATGTCAAGTCTTGTCACCCCTCTATAACTGAAGCCCAATCGGGCATGTCCTCCCTGTAGTCGTAGATGTCCCAGAATCTGGACTCTCCAGCAATCCCGAAATCTGGTTCTTCAAAGGCCTCCCACAACAGGCCAGGGCCATTGTAATCCTCACCCTCTGGCATGTTGTGCTCAGCTATCTACGGGGCATGCCGAACCACGTACAACCATAGCGCCTGGTATGCGTCATCTAGCCACAGCTCCTTCCATACCAGACTCTCGAGCCCCCCTCCCCCCACTACGAAAAAACAAACAAAAAAAAAAAAAACACAGTGACCATAAGTAAACAAGCACCTTAATTTCCTGTATATCCAATAATGCATCCAACTACCTTAAAGGGACATTATAGTCACCAAAACAACTTTAGCTTATTGAAGCAGTTTCTGTGTATAGATCATTTCCCTGCAGTGTCACTGCTCAATTCTCTGCCATTTAGGAGTTAAATCACTTTGTTTATGCACCATAGTTATACCTCCCTGCATGTGACTTGCACAGCCTTCTTAAACGCTTCCTGTAAAGTCAGTTAATGTTTATACTTCCTTTATTGCAAATTCTATTTACATTAAAATGTATTATCACCTGCACTGTTGATAGCTTTCTAGACCCCACAGCACTTTTAAAGCAAGTTACATTTTATTGCACGTAAAACCATTTTTTCCCATGCATGGTGTGCGAGTCAAAGCCAGGGGAGGTGTGACTAGGGCTGCATTAACAAACAAAAGGGATCTGACTCCTAAATTGCAGAGATTTGAGCAGTGAGACTGCAGGATCATGATCTATACACCAAAACTGCTTCCTTAAGCTAAAGTTGTTTTGATGACTATAGTGTCCCTTTAACCCCTTAAGGACGGCAGGCGTTCTATGCCATCCTTGGGGACCCGGTCCTAAACGCCGGCAATCGAGTGGGGGGAACTCACCTGGCATCCCAGGGAGTCCCCCTGATGCCTTTCCCGACCCTCCTTAAAAAACACGTTTAAAATAAAATATACACATACATATATACACACAAAACCAAGAGGGCTGCACTCACCTAAACATGCATACATTATAGGGTGCTGCTGGGGCCAAAACACAGAATCCAGCACACTCGCTTATTCACTAAACAATGCTTTCAAAATATTTTACATACATACACTATATATATATATATATATATGTTAGGTGCTTAAGATAGTACAGTGTGAAATACCATGAATAAGCGTAGGATGATAAAAGGAGCAAGTCGGTTGTGGTGTGCCGAAACCGACGATGAGGTAGGCCTGAGAAAGAAGAGGGCAAAAATTAAGTAATCCAATTTATTAACAGACAACCAATACATATACATTTATCAACCAGACATGTTTATGAAAGCATCTCTTAACTCTTGTACTGGGTTCGGTATGTACCGTGAGTAAGCGGATGACTTCCAGCGCCCCAGTGTTTTGATAACATGAGTTGGGACGTTGAAACTGGAGGCTGTGGACGCGGCTCCTATACGAAAGGAGTGTCCAGAGTAATTGTTTGCGTTGAGGCCCAGTTGTGTGAGCAAGGACCTGACGTAGGTCATGAAGGTTGTAGTGGTGAGTACTGCACCTTGTAGCTGTAGTAATGGTTGTGAGGGCAGTAAGTGATGGTGCTGTATGTAGGCATCAAGAACTTTTACGGGACACCATCTGTTGTGCGTGGGGTAGTACGGAATGTTTACAGGTATGTGCTGGCTGGTTTTGGAGTGAGGTAAAGACAGGATGTAATGATCCATATGTTTTGTCAAGTGGGAATAGAGGAGGAATGGAGTGGTTTGGGTCGTGGAGGTCGTAGTGAATTCTCTGGGTCGTAGAAATCCATAGAAAGCGATGTATATTGCTGTTTTGATGATAGAATTCGTATTAGTGACAAACGGTTTCAGGTCGAGTAGGTTAGATAAAGCTTTGAAGATATGGTTATCTATGGGTAGCCTCTGGGCCAAATGTGTGGGTTCTGATTTTGGTCTTAATTTGGTGAGAGGCCATGAAACTGTTGTTATTTGGGTGTAAGATGAGCATGTGGTGTTGAATGCCAGTGAGATAGAGTTTGATGGTGTTATATGACAATTTGAGTTTAAGGTGGCAAAAGGAAGCAAACCCCAAAAAAGATGTCATAACAAACGGTTGTATGATGTTATGTTCCAGAAGGAATCGTTTGAATAGTGTGAAAGCCCTGTTGTATGTTTTGTTTGTATTGTGTGAAAGTGCCAACTGAGACAATGTCCTGCTATGCTGCATGATGACGTCTAGTCCAGTATGAGTTGTTGAAATGTTGGAGTGATGGTGGCTGTGGGTGCTGCTGACGGGAGTGCTTGATGAAACTCCTGAAATTTAAAGCGAGACAAACTGTCAGCAGCTGTGTTGTATACACCTGGCACATGGAAACAACATAGGAAGAAATTATGACAAGCTGCCAACCAAGTGAGTTTCCTCAGAAATCTCATAATCGTAAGAGATTTGGAACGACCTTTGTTGATGATGTGACAGGTCGCCTGGTTGTCTGAGTAACAACGCACTGGCGTATTAGCCCATAAATGACCCCACGCTACGGCAGCCGCCACTATGGGGTAGATCTCAAAAAGAGCTGAGGTAGTGGAAAAACCTTCCAAATCCAGAACTGCTGAAGGCCAGCTGCCCCAAAGCCATTCGTTCCCAAAAATTGCTGCAAAACCAGTGGTAGATGCCGCATCTGACCAAATGGTAGGAGATGATTCAGTCAATTGAGGGAGGAACATACTTTTACCATTCCAAGTGGTTAAAACCTCTTCCACATGTTTAGATCTGCCGTAGCTTGGGCATCTAAGGACAACCTGTGCGTGTCATGTAGAAAAAGTGGGAAAAGATGCAATAGTCGTGAAATAAAGGAGCGGCCTTGAGGTATGATGCGCATTGCAAAATTTAGTGACCCCAGCAGGGACTGTAGTTCTTTGCGGTTGCAAGTGCCGAGCTGTAGGTAGTTGTTTATGTAAGTGAGAATATTGTCTATCTTTTCGTAAGGTAGGCTTGCTTGCATTGTGGCAGAGTCTAACTGGATACCCAGAAAAGTGATAACCGTGTCTGGCCCTTCTGTTTTCTTTGGGGAGATGGGTACACCTAGTTGCTCAAACAGCTTAGTGGTAGCTTTGAGGCTAGTGGGAGGTGCAGTATTCTCCTCGACCAGTAGGAAATCGTCCAAGTAATGTAATACTGTAGGGCATCCGGCTATGTTCAATAGTAACCAGCATAGTGCTTCGGCAAATGTGTCGAAAATAGCTGGGCTACTTTTGGACCCAAAAGTTAACCGGGAGAAAAAAATAGTAGTTCTCGGACCACTTGATGCCATGCAGGTGCCACAGTGTGGGGTGGATAGGGAGTAATTTGAAGGCGTTAGTAATGTCGGTCTTACTGAGCCAGGCTCCCACCCCTGCTTGTATGATGGCTGTAATGGCGTGATCTATGGTGGTGTATTGCAGAGAGAATTCCTCAGAGGGTATGAGGGAATTAAGACTGGGGTTGGCCGATGAGTGGGGAGCCGATAAGTCAATGATGAGTCTCTGTTTTTGGGAAGATTTCCCTGTGACAATACCAATAGGGTTGGTGCGCCATTCTGTGAATGGGGGAGTTCTAAAAGGCCCCAATACAAAGCCCTCCTCCACTTCTTGGTTTATGAGGGTGTCAACCACTGTGGGGTTGTGTTGGGCGGATTGTAGGTTTGGGCATTCCAGAGTGCCAGCTGGTATGTGTAGGATACCTGTGTGGAAGCCTTCTGTTAAACCAGAAATAAGAAAATCTACCAGGTGTCTAGATGGGTGCTGAGACATCAATGCTGTGAATACTGGCATATTAATGGACGTAAGGTAAGGCTTAGAATACATTTTATTTGGACACATGGTCTTAGCATGTGCCCTAAAACATTTTGAACAGACATGCAATAGTCTACATCCACTGTAATTACAAGACCCAACATTGAAATTATTACATATCTGGGACTTGCCCAGAAACTTGATTGGGCGTCCCAATTTGTCTTTGGATAGTTTCCCTGGATCCCCAGAGGAACTAGTTCCTTGTGTGGAGGCATGTCCGTCTGCCGTGTTGGGACAAAAATTAGTAGTATGGGCTGTGGAGGAGCAGTATGCACAAGCTGGTGTTCTTAGACCTGCAAAGTGTCTGCAGAATAAGACGGTATCAATCCTTCCCCAGTTGGATCGTGTACCGTACTGGGAGAAGGCTCCAGCCACTTTTGCAGAAAAAGACCTATGGTAGTCATAGAATGCTGAACCACCATATTTGTTGCCCAGGTCTACCAGCTTGTGCATATAGAGATCAAACTCCTCTCTTCTGTTGGGATAAACCGCACAGACGACATCCCTGTAAATACCAAACGCTAGTACAAATTCAGGGATAGTCAGTTTCCTGTTCAGGCGGGCATCCCTAGATCTGACAATAACAGAAACATCATCATAAGCATACGTCTTATGTTCCACAATGTCCTGGGAGGCAATCAACAGGGAAGCCAGGTTGACGTCTTTACCTTCCAGGATATCCCTTTTGATATGCTCAGGTATCATGTGGGCCGGGCTAACTTCCTGGTCATCCAGGGGGCTGGCTGGAGCGACTAATGGCAAGGCTGGTGTTTGTACCGCAGCCGCGGGTGGCCCTGCTAGAGTGAGGGCCGTGGTGACCGACTCAAGTTTCTCCAGCCTGGAGTTGACCTTGCCCATGGATGCCATGAGTGAGGATAACATGGCATGTATGTCCCCTGGGTTGGACTGGCTAGATCCTTCCCCGGCTTCCATGTTATTGGTTGATGTGCGTAGCAGTTTGAAAAGTTCTGCCTTCCTTGCTGTAGCGGGGTAGGGGATTTGTCGTCTCCTTAATTCCGTGGTTATGCGCGGGATTGTCCAGGATCTAATTGATGCTGGACTAGCTAGCTCTCCTCCTTGTGTGGGAGTGACAGCTCTAGCCGGGGTGCTAGGCAGGGAGAAATCCTCTACCCCTTCCTGAGACATACTATAAATAAAACAATAATTAGTATATAGAACCACCAAATTGTACTGGCAGGCTAGCTAGGCCGGATGGCGAAAGTATTATGCTTGTTTGGTGACAGGTGAGGCCCTACTAATTGCCAAGCGGCTTGAGAGGCTCTATCTATGCGTTGGCGCGAGGGGTTATTGAGGCCACTTGACGTAGTGGCAGGAGTTTTAGGCCTCTCGGTGACTGTACGACAGAAAACAGGGGAAGGGAGTGACAGGTGAGGCCCTCTCTTTGCAACATGCGAGGCGGCTAGCTAGCGTGTGGCCCGATGGGTGTTTGCCTCCGAAACGTTTGAGGCGGGGTGTTGGCCTCGCGGGACCACTAACTAATGGCGACAGCCAAGATGGGGTAAATATCTATTGGGAAGCCTGTGACCCTATTGCCAGTACTCTAAACTAGGGGGATGAAATGAAATGTATGGTAGAATACCATATGAGCAGGTGTACGTACCTGGTAGTATGATAAATCACAGGAATAAACCGTGTGGAGCAATTATATAAGCTCGACAGCCTAAAAATGGGTAAAAGAGAGTAGTACGATGAGTGTGGGGTGTAAAAGAACCAGACTTATAGTCTGTAGCAGCAATGTATAAAATTATGTTGATACCATGGGAATAGCTATGAGTGGCTCAGAAATGTTTGCATGCTTGAATAAGACATCTGAGGGAGGCCGTGGCCTATGTACAAACAATCTATGTGTTACGTGATAATGGTGTGTAAAGGAAAACATGAAACGTAGGTTATATTACATATGTATATGACTGTGTAGGGGACGTATGATTGGTTGGATCAGTACGTGTGATTCAACCCGAGTATGCATGCAAAAGGATTTAAGCCTTATGTGTCATCGTCATGACAGAGAAATGAGGCCTGTAATGTAGGCTGAGTAAATTGAAATGAAATGGATAGTTATAAAACTCCTGGCGTGGGAGTTCAATGATCTGTACCGAAATGTAACTGGTTTTATAGAAAGGGACATGGATGAGGTCATGGCCTAATTAACACAGCGTTATGTATGATATGTAGCAGAAAGACCAAAGGCAGGGATACCCCAAAATGATTTAACATGATGTAAAGTGATGTATATCTATATGATATGTATGTATAGCAAAGACGTATCAACCCGAGAATTATTGCTTAAATGAACCTATCCTTGTATATGTTGTATTAATAACCCAGAAATGAGGCTTGTAACATAGGCTGAGTCCATTCGTATAAATGGATAAGTAATGCAGACCCCTGAAAGCGTGGGAGTCAAATGGTATACACAGAGAAGTGGACTTGATTTGTGGACGTAATACAATACTGACAATTGTTAAAAGTAATCAACAATAATCTATTTAAGCAAGCAATACTTTAACCGAATGTTATATACACATGAAATGGTGAATATAATTCATGAAAGGATTATACGTGAACACACAGAACAGCCGAAAGCAAATGTGAGGGGAACACAGAAGTTAGAATAGTTTAACCGTATGATTTATGCGAACCAAAGCGTGTATGAGCGTATGTAAAATTTGCCGAACGGCAAAACAACCGAATGAACATTCGTTTAAATAACATGAATAGGATATGCGAAATGACTATTGAACGATTTAAAACATGTTCAGCCGAATGACCGTACGAATGAAAAGCCCGCGAATGGCTTGAAACATTCGTGTCATAACCAGGGAAAAGCCGTAAAGCGAGGACCCGTGCTGTACCGTACGCCGTGGGAACCAGTCCTGGCGTGACAGGAAGGTCTGACTTATGGTTTAGGAGTCCCTGGGACGCGATCTACAACGGAGAACGGAGTCAGAAGAAGCTGGACGGGCGGAAAGGCCTGAACAGGATTCCTGGACACAGCTTAACGTGGTGAAAGCTCCTGGATACTGAAACCAAGATGGCGTCTGAGAGAACCCGGAAGTGGATCCTGACCACTTGGATCGCTGACCTCGAACGGTAAGGAGCCAGGCAAGGGGAGTGCCTTAAGTAGGCTAGGGGTAGAAAACCAGCACCTCCCACAAATGCAGGCAAATTGCCTTAATACATACACATTATATATATATATATATACACATACACACACACACACACACACAGTAGAAAATAACAATAGTGCAAGGCTGCGCCAAAATGTATCAATATAGACTTATAGGAAATAATATACATATATATACACACATACATATATACATATATATATACACACATACATATATATATACACACATACATATATATACATATATACACACATACATATATATACATATACATATATATATATACATATATATATATCTCTTTCTCTCCTAGGTATAATAGTCTCTATTAAAACGCCATAAAAAAAAAGTAGGTAAAACAGAGTCCATCCAAGTGTTGAAATGTTAGTAGAAATTAAATAAAATGTTCAATAAAAATCATGGATAGGGTATGTGTACAATCCTCAGGAGCTGATCCGTCCGGGTTGTAGGTAATCCGTATATGTGAAGATAAAAAAAACACGACAAACTTCCAATGGTGAAATATTGTAGCTCCAAAGGTAAAATAAATAAAAAGGAGGATAGTACACTCACATTTGGTGGAGCTAAGGCCAGCTCTGGGATGGAGGGCGCTTAGCGGTATAATCCCCGCTAAAGGATATACTGGAGAAGTGGGTCCGTCGTACTCCACACAATATATATATATATAAAAAACAGCAATAGTGCTCTCAGTTGGAAAAGTAAATAAAATTGGTAAAATAAAATATACTCTACAATGGTAGAGCAGAAAATACTGCTCTATTGACACAGCACTGGTGGAATTATCCCCACCTATGGATTGCTTGAAACAGGATACAGTTAAAATTAAAATGCCAGGAAAAAATAAAAAAAAAAGTGTATATACAATAAAATAAGTATAAGGTTGGTCCTATAAAAAAAAAAAGGTAACCAAATAGAACTTTTTATTGCTTTAAAATACACAATTTAAAACCATTTACGCGTTTCGCCACTAGGGCTTTTTCAAAATGGAATAAGATTAACAATCCTGGCTGGTAACAGTATATATAGGTGCATAGAAAGTAAAAAATTGGAGCCAAAAACGTCATCTAGTTGATAGCCAAAAACTATTGAAATGGAAGAAAGGTAATGGTCGAAGACTTCAACAGGGCACCATTTATTACCAGTAGGGTAATAGTGACAGTCTGTCCCTTGACACTAGTTTTTGTATGATGTAGGGACAGTAAATAGTGATCGTGTGTTTTTACCAGGTTGGATCTTGTGAGGAAGTTGGTGTTGTAATTAGTGGTGGTAAACTCTTTGGGCCGAAGGAACCCATAAAACGCCAAATAGATGGCCGTTTTCATGACCTGGTTTGTATGAGTTTCAAATGGTGAGGTATCTAAAAGGTTTGATAGTGACTGAAATAGGAGATCGTGGATAGGTAATCTGGATGGCGTGGGCGCAGGGGTGGAGTCCTTGATACCTTTAAGTATGGCCTTCACTTGGTAAGATGACAGGAAACGTTGTTTATTAGGCCAACTGGTGAGAATGTGGTGTTGAATACCGGGGAGATATAATTTAATGGTGTTGAAGGATAGTTTTAGGTGAAGGTGGCAAAAGGAAATGAACGCAATCATGGTTTCCATGGAAAATTTGATGTTGAAGTCAAGCACAAATCTATTAAAAATATGAAAAGCCCTGCCATAAGCCTTCCTGGTGTTAACAGAAAGACCCGTGAGTGAGTAGCTTATTTAATCCAAAACCCATCTTCCGCCATCTCGGCACTGGAGTTGGTATCAGGGCAGCTGTGGGTAGTGTCGCCCGGAACTCCTGAAAACGAGATCGGGATAAATGATCAGCAGCAATATTCAGAACCCCAGGAACATGTATGCAAGTTAGGAAAAAAACTCTTTTGCCGCTTGCCACGTGAGAAAAAAAAAACAAACAAAAAAAAAAAAAATATCGCATGATGGCCAGGGAAGAGGAACGTCCCTGGTTTACAATATGGCATGTTGCCATGTTGTCCGAGAAGCAACGCACCGTATTACCCAACCAGCAAGCTCCCCATTTAACTACCGCTGCTACAATAGGGCAAATAAAGCAGAGGTGTCCTTGAACTCTGGGATCTCAGCAACTTCCACCGGCCAGTTGCCCCACATCCATTCATTGCCAAAAATAGCGGCAAATCCGGAAGTGGCCGCGGCATCTGTCCTGATAGATACGGACTTGTCTGTCAACACTGGAACGAAAATGCTCTTTCCATTCCAGTGCAGCAAGAATTACCTCCACATGCTTAAGTCAGCGGTGGCATGTACGTTTAACATTATGCGGGAGGAATGGGACTGTAATAGGGGAAATAAGCTAAGCAACCAGGAAATGAAAGCCCGCCCTTGGGGTATGATTTTCATTGCAAAATTAAGTGAACATAACAGGGATTGCAAATCCTTCCTATTACATGACTGCCCTGCTAGGTAAAGGTCAATGGCAGACAGGGTGCTTTCGATCTTCTCCCTGGGAAGGCTAGCCTGCATATGTACAGAGTCCAGCACCACCCCCAAGAAGTTGATGACCGTATCGGGACCTTCAGTCTTTGTCGGTGAAATAGGCACTCCTAGTTGTGTGAACAGTCGTGTAGTAGCAAGGAGGCTACTGGGAGGTAACAGGTTACTTTCTATGAAAAAAAAAAAATAAAATCATTCAGGTAATGGATAATGGTGGGGCATCTATAGGTGTCAAGCAGTATCCAACACAACGTCTCGGCAAACATATAAAAAATTCTTGGGCTGCTCTTAGAACCAAAATGTGAGACGCGTGAAAAAAAAATAAAATAAAAAAAAATAAATAAAAAAAAAAAATAGTATGCACCTTGCCACTTAACACCTTGTAAATGCCACAGGGACGGATGGATAGGAAGTAGCTTAAAAGCATTCACTAGGTCTGTTTTGCTAATCCATTCACCCACCCCTGCAGAGATGATGGCCGTGATGGCATTATCTATGGTTGCGTAGTGAAGAGAAAATTCTTCTGACGAAATAAGTGAGTTAAGACTTGGGGTAGGAGATGCATGGGGAGCAGAGAGGTCAAGAATCAACCTTTGCTTATTGGAAGAGTTACCCGTGACCAGACCTATGGGGTTAGTTCTCCACACCGCGAAAGGCGGAGAGTCGAAAGTGCCAATTAAAAACCCTTGGTCAATTTCTTTCTGGAGTAGTCGGTCAATAGAGTCAGGATCTGCCAGGGCCGTCTATAAGTTTCTACATTCTAAGACCCCTGAAGGCATAAGAATAATACTGTTGTTAAATCCCAAAGTGAAACCGGTCACCAAAAATTCCACAAGATGTTGAGATGGGTGACCACACAAATCTTTCAGCAGGGAGACATTAAGAGACGAAAGGTACTGCTTGGTGTATAATTTATTTGGACACATTACTTTAGAGTGAGCCCGGAAACATTGGGAGCAGACATGAAGTAGCCTGCAGGTCCTAACCGCAAGTGCCCGTATTAAAGTTATTACAAACTTGTGACTTTCCCAGGAACACTATATCGCGGCCCAGTTTATTCTTAAGAACCCTGCCTGGTCTCCCTGTGGGCATCATGTTGGAAGGGGGGCAGAAGGTATTCACCTCCGTGGTATTAGGGCACAGATTCGCCGTGTGTGAGTTGGAGGCACAAATGGCACAAGCTGGCGTCTTTAGGCCCGCAAAGTGTCGACAAAAAAGCTCTGTATCAAGCACACTCCAGTCAGCTTGATAATTAAACTGGGATAGAGCTGTCGACGCCTTTGCGGAGAAAGCACGGTGGTCGTCATAAAAAGACGTACCACCATACTTGTGCCCTAAATCCACCAGCTTGTGGAGGTAGAGATCCAATTCTCCCGTCCTATAGGGATACACTGAGCATAATACGTCCCTGTAGATCCCGAAAGCCAATACGAATTCAGGGATGGATTGCTTACGATTCAGCCTGAGGTCCCTGGATTTCAGTACCACTGACACGTCTCCATATGCATATGTCTTATTCTCAAGGACATCATGGGAGGCAATGAGCAGTGGTATCAAATTGACATCCTTCCCTTCCAAGATGTCCTTCTTAAGGTTAGCAGGCACCATGTGTGCCAGGTTAATAATATGCAGTTCTCTAGGACCAGCTGGAATATTACCAGGAAGAGGGCCGGGGAGAACAGCAGCGTCAGGATTACCCAGAGCCGTGAGCGAATGCTGCTGGCTATCTGCGTCCATTTTATCAAGCTTGTCAGTAATATGACCCAAGTAGGTCAGGACCGAACACAATACAGCATGCAGATCAGAAGACTGACCGCTACTAGACCCTTCATCTGCCCCTGTGTTATCAGTCTGAGTATTCAGAAATCTATATAATTCGGCTTTCCTAGCCACAGCTGGGTAAGGTATGTTCCTTTTCCTCAATTTGGCTGTGATCCTAGGAATGGTCCAGGACCTGAGGGATGAAGGGCTCGCATTGTTGCCACCCCAGGATGGAGTGACTGATCTAGCCGGTGTACTGGGGATAAACAGTTCTTCCCTGCCTTCTGGTAGTTGTGACATGCTATAAAACAAAATTGAAGGTTACCTGGGGCAATACCCAACTGGCTGAAGTAACTAATGAAGTGGCGAAACAATTAGGTAGTTACGTGACAGGTGAGGCACTGCTAGTTGCCAAGGCGGCTGTGAGAGGCACTAACTATGAATGGGCCAGAGTGGGGTACGTGGCCATTGACATTATGGTGGGGAGATAGCCTCTCTGTGACATGTAACAGCAAAAGACAGAATGAGCGTGACAAGTGAGGCCCTCCCTATGCAACCAAGTAAGACGGCTAACTATGAATTGGCTGAGGGGATGTCGTACCTCCGAAATGAGGATGGGAGATGGCCTTGCGGGACCACTAACGTAAGGCGTAGAAGGCCAGAAAACATACCTAGAGGCTCCTATGCTCAAATGCCAGTATATAACTAGACTATGAACCCGACGAGGTAGGGATGTTGGGAGAAAATGGCGAAAAAGGACGTACCTAATGAGCAAAGCAAAGTAGCAGCATAAGGTGATACAGGCGATCTGTAGTAACCTACGAGAGCAATTGTGAGTATGCAGGGATATATCTATATGTACCCTTCAATCCCCCTGCCAACACAATACCTACCGGTAATTTATCCAAACGTAGGCGATCGGAACCAAAGAAAGCAAAAGTGGCAAGGATGCCTAAACCTAGTAATGCAGAAGTAGATAAGAGCCGCAATTACTGACCTATGCCAGACAAAAATGAGGTAAAGCAGCAGTACATAGTGGATACCGTGAAGATTGAAACATAAGATGTCCATAATCACATATAGGTAAGACCACCCCCACACGTAACACGTAGCATAAAATTCCATGATAACCATTCATAAGCAACTAAAAAAACCCTAGCCCTACACCACCAGATGATGGTTTTCAAAATGTCAATTGTAAAATTAAATTAACTGTACGGTATATTTGACAACCCCCCCCCCCCAAAATATATATATATATATATTTTTTTAATTATATTATTTTGTTCTATGTGTATTTTGATATCTATCTATATTAATATCACAATACAGTTAGAACGAAACATATATTTAATTTTATTTATAATGTAATTTTATTATATATTTAATCAATATCATTCTACTTGTATTTTCATATTATTAAAATACACTTAGTGTATATATCTATCTATATATTTTTTTAAAAATTTTTTTTATTATATTATATATTATATTATTTAATTTTTAAAGGTGTTAAACTTTTATTTTACAGCCAGGCTGTCATTCAAGGCAGTCCCCCTGCTGGCAATGCTGTGGACGGCTATGCAGTCCATGTGATCGTGAGGTCCTCGCAAGGAGCTCACAATCACATGGCCAAGGAGGGCCGGATCGGAAGCAGGGGGACTCCCTGGGATACCAGATGTGTCCCCCCACTGCGATCACCGGCGACCGGGTAAGTACATAGGACACCCACCGTCCTTTAGGGGTTAAATGCAGATTATTCTCAATGGCTTTAAATATTTAATATTGGTCATGCAGAAACCAAGAAATAGGAGGTGGTTTGTATGACTGCCTAAAAATGGCCAAATCATGAGTTTCACAGCAGGTAAGTTACACATTATGATGTTTTTACTTGATTAAGTAGTTAGACTTTTTTTTTTTAATATTGATTCATGTATAAAAAGTCTGTAATATTTACAGGTATGCTTGAGCAATACAAGTCAACTTGAAATCAAATACCTTTGTTGGCGGTTTCAGATTTTTGCTTGGGATGCCATTTATCAATTCTGCTTTACAAGACTCTAGATCATATATCCAGATTTTTCCTACTTCATCACCACAGAAAACACAGAGACCTTCTGTAAATAAATACATAAAGAATTATACAAATTTCACATAGTGTACAGAGCCTCATAAATGCTCTCGTAATCAAAAAACACAGAAAAGCTTTTAGGTGAAATTCATTATGTACCAAAAGCTCAGCTAAAATTATGCAAAATGTCACGTTAAAAAGATGGAAGAAACCTCACAGAAATTGATAATTATCCAAAATGGCTAAAGTTCAGTGCTCACTTGTTTCATGTGGCATTCTGCCAACCAGTTTAACTCCTGAAACTCTATAAAAATTTGCCATATTATAAAGATAGAATAGTTATGAAAGCCCACATATACACCACCGGAATTGCGCTCAACTTCAAGCATAACCAAAAACATACACATAATAAGAAATAATTTGTCCTATATATGCCTCGGATGTCTACTGACAGATGGTCAGCAGATTCTTATAGCATTTTATGGTCCACGCACAAGCAAATCTAAATTTTTAGTGAATACTGCCCTTTGAAAATTAAGATATGCAGTGAACCAGTGCATTAGATTTGTGCACAGCGAGATAATTCAGCTCAGGCAAAACTCTTTCGGACCCAAAACACATTTTTCAAAACACCCACATTGCAGCAGATTGTCAGAATGCTGGTATCGAAATTTTAATTTGGAAATGAAATTTTAAAAAAATAAAAAATTAAATAAAAAATATTTAAAAAAAGCTAATTGGTGTGCTGCAAAATATACACACAAATATTTGTAGTAGATTGCAGTAGAATATGTAAATAAAAATCATATTCCATATATTGTTTATTTAAACAGCTCCTCCTTTTCCCATCAATTGTTGTCTTCTCATTTGAATAAAATCAACATTTAGTAACGGTCTCCTAGCCATCAACAGTTTTTTGGCATCATGAGCAGAATTCAGAATCATGACCCCATTGCACAACTATTCGTCAATGATTTTGGAACATTTTGTCTTGGAGTTCAGGAATTCGGCCATACACCAGAATCTCCAAGTTTACAATGCATAGACTATAAAGAAGAGATAACATTTCATGCTTTAAGCCACTTCCCAACATCACCCTTCCTCCCCCCAGAAATAGAAGTTGCTTTAGGTTAGAAAACAAAAAAGAAAAAATTATATACACACACCTTGTGATGCAGTAAGGGTGATGTAAGGGAAATCAGTGTTTGACCACTTCAGCTCTGCTAAAACCACTGCATCAAGTTTCTTATTGCCTTTTGATTTCTTAGCCTTGAACGATCTCTCCCAGCTCCATATGTAGATAGACCCTTGATTTGCACTTTTAGAAGCTAAAAAAAATAAAAAATAAAAGTAAAACAATATTTTATGTGTTATGTGAATACACTGCATATAACAAATTTTTAAAGTTATGGATAGCTAATGGCACTATGCAAAAAAGTTGGGCCCAGCTCAAACATCTCTGCTAAAAATGTGCCCATGATAAAGTCTGACTACTTTGTTAAAAGGTACACTATAAGCACCATAACCATTACTGATCAGTGTAGTAGTTACCGTGCTTCAACTGGGAGCACTGGGGATGTATTAACCCAACATTCTCAACCTTGGCCAACCAATGTCCGAGAGATTCATGCTTCAAAACATGGAAGTGAAATTTCCAAAATTATTAGTGTGCCAGAAACGGTGGACTAAGAGTGTCGATGACAGGTACATGTTTTGGCAAACTGCTGTAAAATAGTTTTTTGGAGCTGGGGAAACACACACACCACAAACACAAGGGACTAAAGCCAGAGACACATAGCAACATAACCACTACTAGGAGCTGTGCTTAGAGTGCCCTTTAGAAAATATACATGTTAAGTTTAATTGGAGTTCATATACCTGCATGGAGTTCCACAGAAGGTAGAATGGATAGATTATAGATTATAAATGGTCAGATTTAATGTGAACACTTACAGGAAGGTGAAACTTTAACAATACATGTAAATTGTAGCAAAACCAAAGACAAGCCATAATCAGGATACCAAAATTCTGAATAAACTTTGAACATTAACTATTCAGATGTAACAGGAGTCTCTCTAAATCATTGATATCCAACCAATTATTTGTTCTATCAAAAAAAAACAAAAAAAAAAACCACAGAACAAACAAACCAAAAAATTATAATCAAAAATGTTTTCACCATAGTAGTGTCAAACTCACCTACAAGGTCTTCATTTAGAAATGCCAAACTATCTATTACATGGAAGTCGTCATTCTTTGTTTCAGTCTTGTATATTGGAAAATTTAGTTCTACATCAAAAGACCTGATGGATCAAGCAATAGTGTAAAAGATTTGAAGATTATTAAATCCATAATTGATCTGAAAGCTAATTATATTAGAAATAAAAGCATTTATACTTATAAGAACACAAAAAACAGGGAATAAATATTCAGAGTACCAGTACATTAAGGCAACATTAAAAATAACTACTTGAACATTAAACGTTATTTCTCCGAAACGCTTTTCTTGGTAGCCACTCAGTTTCTAAAATAAAAACACGCAGAGCCCCTGTTGCACAATATCTCAAAGTAAGCAAGTGAAATGCATGCTCAATCAGGTTGATATCAGGTGATTGCTCAGCCATTGCAAAATATGTATTAATCGCCAACATATTCTGCAGCGCTGTACAATATAAACAAACAGACAAAAAGGTAGCTGGCCACGTCCGTGATATTCCACTTTGCCAAAAATATTTTTTGTATACATACACATATATATATACACACACACACTATGTTTTGGGCCATTTTCCCATCTCTAAAGAGAAGCGCCACCCAATCACTTTGCTGAATTTGGCTAAATCTGAGCAGACAATATATCCCTATACAATTCACCCAGCTGCTTCTGTATGCTGTCACATAAAACAATAGTGACCCAATGCCATGCATGCCCATGCCACACTGCTTACAGATGGTGTGGATCATGAGCCCTGCCAAGCCTTCTCCATACTTTTTTCTTCCCATCACTGTGGTACAGTTTGATCTTAGTTTTATATGGCTAATAAAATGCAGTCTATGAACTGCCTGGCCTTTTTATTTATTTTTTTGCAAAGTCTAATCTGGCCTTTCTATAGAGCTGCTTTGACCGCATGTTGTGGGTTCACAGCAACAGCTTTGAAATGTGAATGTCACACCTAGAATCAACTCCAGACCTTTTACTTGCTTAATTGACGAAGAAATAAAGGAATAGCCCACACCTGTCCATGAAACCACTTTTTAGTCAATTGTCCAATTACTTTTAGTCCATTGAAAAAAAAAAAAAAAAAAAAAGAGGGGTGGCTACGTATTATAGAGCTGTAATTCCCAAACACTTCCTCTAATTTGTATGTGAATACAAAAGTGTATTCCTGACACTTATTTATATATAATTTATATTAATATATAATTAAATTTTTTATTTATTTTTAACACTAATGTGGCCACCTCCCACCTTAAATATGGCTAAAACATACCTTTATTTCAATGCTGCAGTGTTTGCCAGCACTGGCCATGCCCCTTTGGGTGAGATAATTAGAACTGACTACCTCAGCTAATTCACTGCTTTCCTACAGGAAAGCATTGGGAGGCTTGTGTGCACACACAGCAAACCACCACATTGGCCAATCAGCATCTCCTCAGAGATGCATTGAGTCACTGCATCTCCATGGGGAATATTCAGCTCTGCATGGAGACTGAACGTCAGAACTACACGTTGTGCAGCATTGACCCAGGATGCATTTCTAGTGTGAGTGATGGCCACTGGAGGTGTCCCTAGAAATTTTCATGTAAACACTGCCTTTTCTCTGTAAAGGCAGAAAAAGTGTTTACATAAAAATGCCTGCAGGAACATACTACACTCGTCTGAACAACTACATTAGTGACCCATTACTAAAATAAATTCAACTTACAGTTAAAAAGCAGAAAGAACAATTGTGTCAGTGTCCAAATATTTTCGGACACAACTGTTTGTGAATGAATATAGGACTGTTTAAACAATTTGCAGTGGGACAGAGTGACAGTTCTCTAACAAAGTAAGGTTCTGCGGTTTATTTTTTACGATTTTATTTTAGGAACCAGTGAGTGGCTAACAATAAAATAAGAGTGGCAGAGGTTGTGCATAACACTTATGTTTTATTTAAATGTGCAAGGAGATTGACAAGAAGAGTATGAAATAGAGGTTGTTTTTTTTTTTTTTTTTACACTAAAACAGGGTAACATATAGTGCTAGAACAATTATTTGTTTGTGTTTATTCATACGATATAGCGACAAAAATGCAATCTAACATGGCAGTTTTAATTTCTGAATTACACTTAATTTCTTTCAGAAATTAAAGAAAACAATCATTTGATACCCAAGCCTAAAGTTTACCAGACAATTTAATCAAAGCTCCAGATGTCCACTTGACCTCTCAGCACTGATTAACGTATATGGTGGCCTTTTCAGAACCTGGAGTTTAGACCACTTGCAGATGAGGTGGGAAAAGGAAGCCGGTAGGTGCTTTCTTACTCTATACCTCTTCGCGAACACTGCAAATTTCCTAGTGACTCATGTTGTAGCGATGCATTACACACAAAGCACATGCTAAACGGAGCTGTGCAGTGATAAGTAATTTAAGAAATAAAACCCTTGGCAGCTGCACACCTTTGCATTCTTCATTGCAAGGAGGCAATGAAGTTCTATTTAACACAGTTTCACAAATGGTTTTATTTCAGGATTTAGCAAGCATTTGAAAAGAGTACCTTTTTCCCTGGTTCTTAGTAAGTTTAATGTCATAAACAAAGCAGCCATCTTCACAAGCAGCCAGCAAGTACTGATCGGGGCTCGCAGCAACTGGACAAATCCGTAAAGGAGTAGAGGTAGTGTCGAGCGTCAACAATTGACTAGACAAATAGAAATATACAGAACATAAATTAAAAAAAAATAAAATATATATATATATATATAAATAAAATAAGTTTCACAAAACATACACGTTAAAAGCAATCCTACAAAGTATCATCCGTATCAAATAAAAACAAAAAACATTATAAAGAAATTGACAAATCTAACTAGTACTGCCTATTGTATCAATCCTCAATCTGATCAGAGAGAACATGTGAGCTTCACCTTGACATTAACAAGGCAGCAACAGTATAAAAGAAGATGCATAGTTTACACACCATGAGGTGTTAAATTAATTTGTGCGGTGTGGATTATGGAAAATATTAACTACAGATAACACTGATGCAATATTGGTGGGTGATGTAATTTGGCAGCAGTAAGGGTTGCGATGCGAAGTATGCAAAGGAGGCACAACAATACGACCAAAAAAAAAATGGACCATCACAAGCAAAAACATGAGCGCATAACATGGGAAGGAAAGAAAGAAAGAAAGAAAGAAAGAAAGAAAGAAAGAAAGAAAGAAAGAAAGAAAGAAAGAAAGAAAAGAAAGAAAGAAAGAAAGAAAGAAAGAAAAAAGAAAGAAAGAAAGCAAAAGAAAAGAAAGAAAGAAAGAGCGTTGTTGTTGTTGTTGTTGTTGTTGCTGTTGTTGTTGTTGTTGTTGTTGTTGTTGTTGCTGTTGTTGCTGTTTGTTGTTGCTGTTGTTGTTGCTGTTGTTGTTGTTGTTGTTGTTGTTGTTGTTGTTGTTGTTGTTGTTGTTGTTGTTGTTGTTGTTGTTGTTGTTGTTGTTGTTGCGTTGCTGTTGTTGTTGCTGTTGTTGTTGTTGTTGCTGTTGTTGTTGTTGTTGTTGTTGTTGTTGTTGTTGTTGTTGTTGTTGTTGTTGTTGTTGTTGTTGTTGTTGTTGTTGTTGTTGTTGTTGTTGTTGTTGCTGTTGTTGTTGTTGCTGTTGTTGTTGTTGTTGTTGTTGTTGTTGTTGTTGTTGTTGTTGTTGTTGTTGTTGTTGTTGTTGTTGTTGTTGTTGTTGTTGTTGTTGTTGTTGTTGTTGTTGTTGTTGTTGTTGTTGTTGTTGTTGTTGTTGTTGTTGTTGTTGTTGTTGTTGTTGTTGTTGTTGTTGTTGTTGTTGTTGTTGTTGTTGTTGTTGTTGTTGTTGTTGTTGTTGTTGTTGTTGTTGTTGTTGTTGTTGTTGTTGTTGTTGTTGTTGTTGTTGTTGTTGTTGTTGTTGTTGTTGTTGTTGTTGTTGTTGTTGTTGTTGTTGTTGTTGTTGTTGTTGTTGTTGTTGTTGTTGTTGTTGTTGTTGTTGTTGTTGTTGTTGTTGTTGTTGTTGTTGTTGCAGGCAGCTGAGTGGAGTGTGTGTTGTTCAGGAGGGAGGGAGGGAGGGGGAAGAAAGAAACAGGAAGGGGGGAAGAAACTAACGGGGAAGAAACTAACGGGGAAGAAACCAACTGGGGGAAAGAAACTAACAGGGAGGGGGGGGGTGAAAACTAACAGGGAGGGAAACTAACAGGGAGGGGGGAGACATTGACAGGGAGGGGAATTGACGGGGAGAGAAATTGACAAGGAGGGGGGAGTGACAGGGGAGAGAGGGGGAATGAGAGTAACAAGGGAGGGGGGGAGAAGAGAGTGACAAGGGAGGGGGGAGAGATTGACATCCATCACACACAATGCACCCCTTACACACAGAAAAACACACAATGCATTACACACAAACACACAATGCAATACACACACTCAATGCACCCCTTACAGACTCACACACTTCATCCCGTACATACACAGAAACACACCTTGCAGCCCTTACACATACAAACACAGATTCACACAATGCATTCCTTACACACAAATCAGGACATCCCCTACACACACTCCACCCCCTGTGAACAAACTCATTGGTGGAACATTAAGGTGGACCCTGGGACCCAGACCTTGAGCTGTATAAAGGGCCCCCCAAAAAATGGAGCTGCTTCCTGTTCTCCCAGAACATTGATTTTTGTGACCACAGTTACAAACAGCCTCCAGAGATCCTGTTCTACACCAGACCAGTGGAGCCAGACTGCAGCTAGAGCCCATCATCATCCTCATCTGCTTGTAAGTAGGTAATATAGTATATTATTCGTGGCACTAATCTCTAATTTACCTCACATTAAAGGGACACTATAGTCCCCAGAACCACTGCAGCTTAATGTAGTGGTCCTGGTGTCTATAGCCTGTCCCTGCAGGCCTTTTAATGTAAACACAGCGGCACTGCAGCACTAGCGTTAGTTAACATGGCAGGTCATATGGGTGGGGCATTGTGATGTCACGGCAAACTTTACTTTTGCCTAGGGCGGCAAAAATCCTTGCACCGGCCCTGTGTAAACAATATGTACATCACATAGAAAACATGTTTTCCTGAAAGGATCTTTATCAACTGTTGGCATATGTAACCTTGCTACAAAAAAAAAAAAAAGGAAAAAACAAAAACAAACAAACCACGACATTTAATTGTAATTAGACATTTTATGACACCAATTGTGTTGGCTTTAAGTGTAACTGCCACTTTGTCCATAAATATAGGAGCTTTACCAACACAATTAGAGACAGCATTTGGCCAACAGTCAATGCACTTGGTAAAGAAAACAAGACTAGAAATCATGTGCAAGTCAGAAGTTTTTAATTGTGTTGACTCGGTTTTATAACGTCGTACCTAGTTCTGAAGTTGTATTCATAATCTGGCACACCAATATCCCAAAGGAGAATTCTATTGTCGTAAGATCCAGCTTATGAAAAAAAAAAAAAAAAAAAAAAAAAACATTTAACCATCCTTCTTTCAAACTCACAATTGAGACATTACTCACACAAAGTACACTGTAAAAGCAATATGAGAAGTACCCAGTTATGGGCAAGTATCAAGAATTACCAAAATCCTTGGAGACCCAGCCAATGAGATTCTAAAAAGGTTTAAAAAAACCAAAAAAAAAACCACTACATCTTAATGCAGAGGTTTTGATGCATACAGAGTCTCTGTGGTCTAAAAAAATGTAAGCTTGCCATTTGTGATAGATGGTAAGGTTTGCATGTCAGCCAGTGTGCCTCTATTGTTCTTCATGTTCAGCATAGTCAAGCCAAACATTTTTAAGTGATGCATAGTGCTAATGCTTTTCTAAGCAAAGTATTGAATTGTCAATAAATTATATTAATTCATAATGTTAGAATATTAATTTCATCACAAAATATCAAAATTATTATAATAAGGTATTCATAATTACAAGTATTCCTGGTTTAAATGTGTTCCCCAAAAATATGCGGTTTTCATTTACAAGGCTACCAGGATAGCATCTTTGCCCCAAAATCACTTCATTAAATTAAGTGATTCTGGTGCTTAGACTGTCCTGTTAACCTGGTGTTGCTTGCCCCTGACAGATTAATTGAGGAGAGAAAACAATACTCATTGAGAGAGATTTTCCCAAAAACCTTCTGCAAGGATACCCAACTAATGAGAGAATGAGGTTGTATGGAGACTTACTGAAAAGAAAGGTTTCCTGTGTTGGGCTGAAGCACATGATAGAAATGGCTTTCTTGTGCGCTTTTATTTCCCCATATGCCAAATTGACTTTTGCGTGTATTAGTTTTATAACTCCAAGTTTTCCACCTGCTGCTAAAACATTGATTTTCCTCTTCTGCCCTTCTTTACTTATCATTGTAAGAGTTGTCCAGGCCAAAGTAAAGAACTCCTGAAAAGAGACATTGAGAAACATTAAAACAAATAAAATGAACATAGTGCATGCTATAGGAGGATGGAAAGAAAGAGTCTATAAATAAATGTAGCTACAATTTATCTCCCCTAGAGTAACATAATACACTCCCCCATAATACACTCCGCAAAAGAAAAAGCATATTTCCTATTAAATAGAAATGTTATGGAGAGAAACAGATTCCAACAAGCACACATTTTCTACTCCCAAGTGGTTCAGTTGTGACTGTACAGTAAGTTATGTATTGTTCTAGTTTATCCATCAAGCAACCATGTGCCTGAAACTACCAAAATGAAAATTCTGAGCCGAAAACGAAAATTCAGGATGCCCTTGGCCGAAAAACAAAACTATTTTCCCCAAATTATTTTAAAAATGTTTTTTTTTTCCTATAAAATTGTTAATATTAGACTTAAATGAATCGAATATGAAAAAGTTAATTTTTCCATTCCCTGTACCTTAGTCTCCCCCCTTAATGTTCCTCCCCAGTCAGAAATGGGATAGGCCTATCTACGGCCGAAAATTTTGGCAGCATGAATTTTGGTGCATCCCTACTTAAAACCCCTGTGAGGATAACAACTGTCACCCAGAGCACTGGTAAACGGCAGGTGTTGCAATCCAATGGTTAAACTATGAAACTATGTGCAAAAGCACTCGCCAAAGGATATGGGCTTCTGTTATTCAAACCAGTGTTCATTTCGCTGGCAAACATTTATCAAAACCAGGTTTTCAGTGACAAAAAGAAATAAAAATAATAGAACTAAATAAAAAAGTGATTACGACAAAAACCAGAACAAAAATACAACTAATGAAACAGAAAACTGTTTAGGAGGGACGGATGTCCTATGCAACTTGTTCTAATCAATGCATATCTAATTACTGATCTTTTGTAAAAATGCAAGGCCATATTAGTTTGCTTGATTTCATTTGATGATAAAGACATGTTCTATTGCAACATTTAAATCAGTGTCTGTGTTCAAACCTTGATACCATAAACAGACATTTATATTTCCAATCTTTTATTTTACTTGTGCATAGAGTAACAGGTTTTTGCAGCGCCACAACAGCGGGTACAATAACAATACGTCCGTAGTAAGTTTTAACATGGCAGATTAGACAACACATTTTATATTTAGTGAAGGTAGTGGTCCAGAAGTTTGTACATGGATTATAGTATTACAAAGTTACATCTGTATGCTGTAAACCGAGGCATGTAAAGAACTTGGTGTGTAGTGCCCAATATGTTTATAAAACAGCCCTTGCAGGATGAGCTGTCCCGTCGTAAGGTGAATGTGTTGTTCTCCGGTTGCTAAGTCTAATGGGAATGGAGGATTGGGCTAGGGGATCTTAGTGTGGCACCTTTGTCGCGTTCCTTCTGGGGTTTTGGTGGTCTACTTGCTAGTGTAGCTTGTGGGGTTCCGGCCCAGGTGTGTTGTGTGTGCCTTAGTTCCCTCAATTCGTGGGGCGGTTTGGGGGGGGGGAGGGTAAGCAAGTCTTGGTGTCAGACGGTTCCGTAGGGGTAAGTTTGTGTAGTGGCTGAACAAGTGGTTGGGCCTCTGAGATCGTGTGTATAGTAGCGTCAAGAGCATGCGAAAATAGCTATGTGGAAGCGGTCAGCGCGTGTTACAGAAAAATAAAAAATAAAAATGTAAAAATATCAAACAAGAAAACTTTAAACTAGATTGCCTATGGGGGCAATTCCAAATGCATAGACATAAACCTTATACAGTCTAGGTCCCATTCAAGTGAGAGTGTCCCGTTCCCCTCCGGGAATGAAAGGAGGTATGTTGTCAACGTCCCAGGTTCTTTGGGGTAGTGTCGCTGGGTCTGGCGCAGGCAGGCCTAGGGCTTGTAAAAATTGCAGGCCCTCGGTAGGGTTGGTAACTTTGAAGGTTTTTCCCTCTTTGGTGCACAGCAGTGCTCTTGAGTTAGTCCATCTATAAGGAAGGCCAGCGGTTTGCAGGGGCTGCGTGACAGGGCGCATTGTTTTCCGCCACAGGAGCATAGCTTTACTGAGATCCTGATAGAATGTGAGTGAGTCTCGAATTGGAACGGGGTTTTCCCCCGCAGCAGTCGTTTATCCGCAAAGGATCGGCAACAGAGTATGACATCCCTAGGCTGGGAGTTTGGCGTTTGCAAGGGTGTTGCGATACGGTATAGTCAGTCATAGGCGAACGGTTTAGCATGCTTGGTTGGGAGGATGGCTGCGGTGAGTCGCCTGATGAGGTGAGGTAGTTCTTCTGCTGGTACGGTATCCTCTACTCCTCTTACCTTGATGTTATTTTGTCTGCTTTAATCTTCCATTGCATCCATTCTGGCTGCTATTTGGGAGTGGGAGGTCTGTAGCTGCTTATAGCTTCCCCTTGGGTGGTCACGTTTTGTTTCATGTCAGCAGAGTCCTCCTCAGATACTCGGAGGCGTTCCGTTATTGCTTACATCTCTGCTTTAACCAGGTTGAGTTCTGCAAAGAACATGTCCTGGAAGTGTGCCAGGAGATCGTGGATGTCCCGTTTTGTCACAGGTGGTTCACTTTCAGGCGTAGCCTGTGCTCCATTCCCAGGTACCTTATCCACCACTGGGTCAGTTGTAGTCTCCCGCCGAGGGGATGATGGCTCCCGCGTGCGGGGCGTCGAGACCAGCATCTGGCCGATGTCGTGGTTTGAGGCAGCCGCGGCCGGAGCCGGTTTTTGTGACTTGCGGCCCATCGAGGGTTCAGGTATGTCCCAAGGTATGTCGGCTGCTTGTGGGTCTGTGTCCCAGTAGACTTCGTCCCAGGAGGTAGTACGCGGCTGCCGCGGGAGTCCCGCCCGGTAGGCCCGAGGCCCTTTGCGCCGGAGTTTTGTGCCCGACGGGCATAAAAAAGGCATCCACAGGTCCGGTATGCGGTCCCCAGTACAAGGATCGCTATTACGGCTCTGGATGTGTGACGGTACGCCAATTATGGGTGATTTCTCGGGCGATGAGCGAGGAGCTGGGTGAAATGGCGTCTGCTCCTGAACGCCGTTAGCTCCGCCCCCATAAACAGACATTTACTGCTCCAGGAGTACATAAGTTTAGAAATACTAGAGAAATGCACTAACTAAACCATTATAGTTTAATAAACTAAAATGTAGTCAACTAAATAGTCCTATTAACAACGATTTAAACATCTGGTTTGCTGTGTTGCTGTATAATCAGACTCTTATCACAAGTATTGCCTTTTAAATGTGACGGTCTACCGGTTGTCTTAAAGACTCCTACAGACAATGTAAAAAGAGACACTGAAATCTAGAAACATGGAAGCCTTGCATTTGTTGTATCATTTCTAAGTATCAATCCCAACCACTGCAAGGAACACAAAAAAAAAAAAAAAAAAGAAAAGATGGGGTTCAGTAAACTGATTACGCCAATCAAGTTTTTTCAGAACACACACATTTGGTTAGAGGAACCCTTTCTATGGTGGTGCTTCCCTCCCCCAAACGCATAATATATGAATACTTTTTTTTTTTTTTTTTTTTTTAAAGTGGAGGACATGGGCAGCCCAGATATTCAGATTAGCCAGCCCGTATTCTTGACACAGACAGAGTGGAGTTACACCTCCGGCAGCAGAGGATTTAATCTCTGTATGTGCAGTGTTTCATTGCAAAACACTAACCACTCCAGGCACCATGATCACTTCAAAATCATGTAAGCCCAGAACACGTAAGGTCACACTCCCGCAGGGAGAGGGCCTATAACACATCAGTCCATGTCGCATACCTAGCGGCAAAATGTGCAAGACGCACCTTAATGAAAGCACCCATTAACGAGCCACACTAGTACCATTCAGTGAGCTGATAGCTGAATACACGTTACTAACTGCCACTACATACCTGTCAACAACGCCCTAACAACGCAGTACCAAGCAGGTTTAACGCCTTTTGTATGTCTAGCTATGCAAGGCCTATTAATACCCAATATTTGTCATTGCTTGTTTATTTTGACCTCTATGCCTCTGCGCAGGCAACCATATATTATTCTGAGCTAACTGAAATATGTCGGCCTCACGTTGTTTACACTTTCAATATGCACGCCTCTAAGTAGGCGACTATCTGCGTCAATAATACTATGTTCAACACCCATGTTTATATTGATGACAATAAACATATTTAAAACAAAATCACGTAAGTGGGCATGTTCTGTGGATTAACACTTTAAAAGCTGCATAATATATAGCAGTGGCCCATAAAAACTGGTGCCTCCAGGACACATCAGATCTTAATCCTAAATCTCAAATTGTTTTGCTTTTTAAAAATTAGCACAATCTGTTATAGGTTTCAGATGATTTCCCTACTAAAGTCCCCATAGACTAACACGGACTTCTGTAGATAAATAATTTGAACAGTTTTCCTAACAGATTGTGATTATCTGAAAAGCTTATCCAAAATAAAAACGAAGGCCTAAATATGAAAATTTTGTACAGTGTTGAGGAATATGCTAGTGCTTTATAAATTATACTGATAAATATTTGACATTTTATTGGATTTGCCCACTAGTTGCGAAAATCAGTCACCTAATGTCTCCATAAACCACAAAATAATTCCTTCAAAACAAAATCAAATGTTAAAGAAGTGCAAAAGTGGTGAAAAAACTAAACTTAAAACTAAAAACTGAACACTAGTAACGGAGTGAATGAAAAGTTTTATTTAATGTACAGCGATGGAAAAGTGCAAGTAATTATGGGGTTGCGTTGCATACCCAAGGTGACACAGAGCAATGCTTCTTGGGTTTAGACAGATGCCTACCTCTCCAGTTACTTTATACTTCTTTAGAACCTTTCCGGTCTCACAGTCAACAACGCACACAGAGTCCCCTCCAGAGGACGCAATAACTGAAAAGGAATAAAACAATTTATGCATGAAACCCGCCACCAACATAATTCACACAGTCATTAGGTTCACAGTGTATGCATGCAACAGGTTACTGCCATTACAAATAGCAGCATCACCTTCTGGAATACGGCTAAAATGGAAGTTACAGCTTACAACATTAATTTTATCCCTATTTAGACATCTTTCATTTAGTTCTTATGCAATATTGTATTACACTGGGTGCACCACTGGCATCTGAAACATCCAAGTTCGTGACAAACCGTGTACTTTTCTTGGGGTGGCATCAGGTAACTGTTAGCACCATAACCTTTAGAGCAGTGTTTAATATCACTTTAAAACAGCAGCACTGTTCAAAAGCAACAACAAAAATAAGGAAAATAAATCGATGTAACTGCTACTTTATCCAGAAAGCCATCTGGTTACTATGGCAGTGACCAATTTAAAAGGAAACAATGGATATTAAAAAAAAGGCGCTATGCCTCTTCTCATCTATACAAAGCTTCCAATGGTTTGGTGTAGGAACGGAGATTGCAAATTATATTTCACAGCTACTCACCCTTACTTAAAGAGGTGTCCAAATCTGGTTCAAATGCACAAGACCATAACTGGGTGCTGAAGTCATTCGCATTGTTGTTTTTACTGTGGCACTGCAGGAAATGGAGTGGCTCCACATTAAACTCTTTCTAAAGGATAAAACCAAAACATGTCAAATGTAAAGCTTGTTGCAGAGTATAGATGGAGAAATGTTATTTTGCAAATAATTCTAAGCCATGACTAAAAGAAAAACAAGACAAAACAGAAAAAGTGAGAAAATATTGGAGGTTTTGTGAAGGTAATACAAAACAAAATTCACACAAGAAAATTGTGCAATACGATAGGAATAATGATTATATTTTTATACTACCTCCAATATGTAAAAACCACCAAATGCACACAATGAAAAAAAAATTAAAATTAAAAAATAAAACAAAAATCCTAGTAGTTTGCAAATGCTAGCCTTTAAAACAGGTGCCGGGTCATGAAATAAAATTCTATATTTTACGGTCATGGTATCCTGGGATAATTAAAGCAATGGTTTAATACAGCATAAAAAAAAAAAAAAAAACCTTAATAGAACGATACCGGTCATGCTTATTTTCACTCCATTGAAATGGATTCCTCATGCGATCTCGTATATACATTGTGCTAGCGAAATACCTAGCATATATATATATATATATATATATATATAAATTTAAAAAAAAAAAAAGCGCTCCCACTCCCTCCTGCCAGACAGAAAGACTATCGGCACAGTATGCTCATGTCTGTCAGCTTCATTCTATTGATGCACGCACATCACCATGCCTGGTGGGCTGACTGGGAAGATTAGGGGGAATCTTCGCAAGCAATCGTGCAAATGAAGAAAAAAAAAAAAAGTATAGAAAAACAAACCATCTGGAAGATCTTCCTCTGTCTATTGAGGTTACTTGTTGACTGAAAAATCCTCCTCTGTCTCCTGCTGGCCACAGGTTCCCCCACTGCCTCATTCGGTTCCCTGCTGGCCACAGGTTCCCCCACTGCCTCATTCAGTTCCCTGTTGGCCACAGGTTCCCCCACTGCCTCATGCTGCTCCCTGTTGGCTGTGATGTGAGAATTATAGAGGCCCACGATGCAGAAGAGATCTCCAGAGCGACCACATATTGTGACCATCAAGTGACAGCAGGAGGAAGGATGTAATTGTGGCCAGCAATGATTAGCAAGAAGAGTAGGGTAGACCATGCCATGACAAAAGAGATGCCAGAGACAATTTTCATTAACAGGCTGGCCCTGCAATAAAAGGATTATAAATTTGACAAATTATAGAACACAAAATGTGTCTTAGCTGCCGTCCCCAGTAGAATGTCAAAATGTTCAGGTATTGTTTGACATAAACAGAGGTTCTTCCTGGTGCATGTAGCGTAGCCAGACTGATTACGCGGAATAAAAGCTTCAGTTTTAGAAGCAGCTCTGATACCCCAACCGCCAACACACATACAAAAAAAAAATTATACAATGTTAAACAAAAATCTGCACACCAGTCAAGCCATAAGACTTGCTTTTCCCACAGAAATCACAAATTTGCAGTGATGTTACTACCGTAAAGGATTCTGGGTGGGCATATGCAAATTAGTTTAACAAAGAATCACATTTTTGCCTCATTCCATTTTATACATGGATTCCTTTTAGTCTGTGTTTGCTGTATACAACAGCTTTGAAATACAACTTAAAGATGCAAAGCTAGTGAACCACTCATGGACAGCGGTTTCATAGTATGCATAACTAATAATATTACTTTATGTATTCAAGGTGAAAATTTATAAGTAAATAATTACAGGAGCTACGAATAATAGATATTTTTATCTTGTGAAGGCAGGAAAAGGAGGAGTAAACAGAATGACATTCAAAATATTTAGCTCTGAATGGCTACCTTTGCTTTCCGTCCACTCAGTGAAAGATTTTGTTTTCCATTAATGGATGTTCTTTCCACCTTGGGTTGTGATTTGGAAGGAGTGGACTTTGAAGAGGCTATTGGAGACTTTGGCAATTTACTTTCACTTTGCTGGTCTTTCAGTGTGCATTCTTGTTTTTGCTTGACTGGCGTAATCCTAAATGATTTTTCAAGTAATTTTTTTGAACTTTGTGGTGACAGAGTTGTAGAAGACATACCATCGGTTATTCGAACCCTTTTTTTGGGAGATTCTTCTGGTGAGTCTCCATTGTGCTTCTTTCTGTTGGAACTTTGCAATGCCTTAAAAATGTAAAGGTGTATATATAACTTTATATTTTAAACTCATAGGTTATATTGGAGAAACCGGAAAAAATAAACAAACATAGCCAAAACCTTTCTGGGACTACTACAGTAATCTATATAATCTAGACCAACCGTGAAGCCCTCTTCACAACATTAAAACATATCTCCTCCCATACCCATACTTAGCTCCCCCTCACCCCCAGAATACCCGGTGATCATAGTTGGCAACCCCCCACCAAAGGTTCAAAGAAATACAGAACACAAGGACAACACATGTGGTAACATAACGAAAAGTTACATAGAAATCATTGCCTATCTCAATACTGCTGTATAAGGTGAAACTTACCATCCCCAATTTTTTTTTTTTTTTTTTTTTTTAAAGTCCCATGCGAGAGTAACATTTATCTGCGTGGTTGACACATTGTACTCTATATATTTCTAGAAATTGAGATATTTATAGGCATTGTTCACATGATTTACCTTGGTTGCATTGTTTGTAGAGGTTTGATCTAATTTAGGCTCTATGTCACTTTCGTTGCTAACCAGCAAGGAGGAGAAGAGGTTTTCAGCAATTAGTTGAACCTATGTAACAAAAGCATTAAAAAAAATTACTATACAGCAAAATAAGGAGGTATGAAGTGGGCACACAAAAAAAAGGTCACAAAAAAAGAACCAATATGACGATATGTTCACACATTACGAGATTTTAATAATAAGAGCCTAGATGTGTAATTTATACAGCAATTGAATGTGTTTAATCTCACACATTTACATAGGTTAACTCCCTGGGTTGTTTGCTTCAAACCACATACAACAATACCCCTGTCCAAAATATAGGACGTAGGTCATGTTGGTTTTCTGCAACCGAGCTGATATGCATGTACGTACATAAACATACACACTGTAACCTTTCTGATATGAAGTCTATTAATGTACATAATTAAAGTTACTTACGTTTAAAAAGAGGGGGAAAGGGAAAGGGGGAATAAAAGTTAAAAATAAATAAATAATAAAATAAAATAAAAACCACACACATTTATTCTTTTAGAGACTTGTTTCTAGCCATAACGGAGTTATAAGACCAGCATTGTTGATTTTTAGAAGAATTAAAATAAATAAACTTACAGCTTCGATCATAGCACCGAGAACTGTGCAGTGCCTCGCTCTCCCTTGCCAGCTCTGCAGGACCAAAGAGAAGATCAAAAAATCTCCCTCACAGGCCCGCTAACACTGAAATGCTGCAGTCAGCAGAGGGAGGAAGAGAGAGGACCCAGAGGAGCTCTTATCTGCAGCTCAGTCGGTTTCTCCTCTTGCGAGTTTAGAGCGTTGCAATGGTTACAGTTATCAGGTAAGTTGTCAAACTGTTCTTAAATCAGTTTGACTACTTACCCTGGGAGGGCACCACAACACTGCAGAGTGCTGTAGGTGTTATTGTGCCTGGATTTTAATTTTTAAATAATCTACCAGCGCCCCTCCCAAGATTAGGTTCTGGATTTGCACCTGTCTGGGAAACATTTATGCTGAACAGGGGCCCAGCATATGCTGCAGCATTGTACAGAATACTAAAAATGTGTTTGACTTGGGGCACCTTGGAAAAATATTTAAATATTAAGGGCGTATTAAACCTAAAAAATGTTAGGGAACCACGGAGTTAGATATTTCCTTACATTGCTATAGCTGTGTTCAAATTAGAGAACAAATGCATGTTTGTATGGACAGAGAAAACCAAAAATAGGAAAACACAGACTAGAAAATGACCATATACACTTATAGAATTAAAAAGGTGCTACCTAATCTAAGAAAGAAAGGAGAACAGAAAATTAAAATATATATATATATATATATATATACACACACACACACACACACACGTCCCATTGACTTACCTTCCACTTGGTAAAGTCTTTTAGCGAATTTGGCCCATAGCGAACATTATTCACAACAGTTTTCATAAAGTCTTTACCTACAGCTTTTATTTTTTCTGTGGAAGGTTCCTTGGGCAATTTGTCTTTATAATTTTTTTCCCAGTAAGATTCAACCTACATTAGGAGGTGAACATATCAGAGGTAGTTTAAAGATAAATTGAATATGCAAGATTTTCCATCATAGCTGCATTTAATGGTTTAATAATGACATACTAAATGGATATCGTCTTACAAGAAGGATAGTTCTTGGAACATACTTCTATGACACCAGTTCTTAGTTTTAAAAGGGCAACGTTTAAAATGTTATAAAGTCATATATAATCTTGCAATGAAGAGGTACATTTAAGAGATGAACATGTTTCAGTTTTGTGAATATTTCTGTGAACACTGCTCAATCGGAAGATCTGATTAGTGGCACTGTGAAAGCTTTGAAATGTACACTTACCCTGTTACTTAGCTCTCTGTGATTGACAAACCTAACATGATTAGCTAAAGAGGTTATATCTTTATTATTTAGCCTTCGTAACTTGGGTAAGAGACAAAACACCTTGTGATTATCGCTCACCTAGAAAAAACAAAAAAAACAAAACAACCTATGGTTAATTGTTGTTGCGATTACTTTTTCATGTTCTTAATCCAAAGCACCCCAAGTCTTGATTTTGTGAAAAGAACACCCATTACTTAACCCCTCAAACATTAAATAACATGGTTATTTGTTTAAATAAGAAACAGCTTCATAAATGTCATCCATACAACATGTGGAATATCTTCACAGTTTGATTTTTACCCTAAAAATCTGTAACGTTTGTTTTGTAATGTCTACCAAAAAATTTAAAAAGTGCACATTAATGAGCAAAAAACATTTTTGCATATGGATTTATTTTGTGACAAATAACAGTTCTAGCAAAGAATGAGAAGAGAGAGAGAGAGACACATACAGTCAGGTACAGATTTTCTTCGTAGAGGACCTCCTCAAGATTTGGAAACTCCTTCAAAACTGTGATCTCTTCAACTTGATTATCATTGATATTTAAAACTCGTAGATTACTAAGTTTCAGGTTGATGGGGATTTCGGATAGGAGGTTTCCAGAAATATCAAGTTCTTCAAGATTTACCATTTGAGAAAATAGCTTTGGGTCTAGATCTTTTGTTTCCAGGTGCATTTTTGAGAGACTGCAAAAATAAATACACACACACTGAAATGGATTTGACATGATACATCAGGGCCTGACAAACGTCATGAACCAGCAAGACAGGTCTAGAAAAATAAAATAAATACATTTAAAAAACAAACAAAAAAAGTGTATAATAAATAGAGAATTATGGATGTATGACTTACTTTCCATCTAAAAATCTTATATGGGCAGGTATGGTCTACTAGAATGGCTAGGTTTATAAACCGATACTTGCACATGCATTTTTGGAAACAAAAGTAGGAGAAATAATAAAAACTATAAACTCAGTACTATGTGTTTGTTCTGCACACTATATAGAAGTTATATATTCATAAAAGGATTTCCTAAGATAAAAAAATAAATAAAAAAATTAATAAAAAAAATAAAAAAAATTGTGTTTTAGGAACACTCATCAAGTTGGTAGCCTCCCAATTGCAATAATTTGTTAAAGACCTTTCTTCATCACAGATAAATAGAACACACACACTACAAAACCAATCACTGCTGTGATCTCCAATATTTAATATGCCCTTTCTTTGGGTTAACGTGCACTTTTTTGATGTTTGTGGGTTAGTTGGTTTACAAAGGCACTAGAATATTCTCCATGGTGTAGAGGTACTTAGGGATAGCATGCTCATTTATGGATTCATGTTTTGTCCCCCTCCCCAACAACTAGTATTTAGAAAATTGGGCAGACTAGATGGGCCGAATGGTTCTTATCTGCCGTCACATTCTATGTAACTTTTTTTCTTTCTTAATATATCGTTTAAAACAGGGGTGTCCAGCACGCAGCCCAGTTGCCATCTTCGCCCAGAGAGGGAGACAGGGAGTCCTTCACCTACTGTGCTCCTCTAGGATAGCTTCATTGTGTGCCCTGCAGTAGGATCCCAGATCAGCAGCAACAGCTAGCCACCAGGAACAGAGGATCCATTCCAGCCCTCCCAGAGCAAGGTAGGGAGGCTGGGTGGACCTCTTAAGTATGAATGTAATTTTTTTGTGTGTTTTGTCAGTGTTTCTGTGGGAAGAGGGCCATCTTTGTGTAAATCAGCTATTGTGCATATCCGATTATGTGTTTGTATGTGATTGTGTGTATATATGCGATTGTGGGTATAGGTCTGATTGTATGTGGGTATGTATAGGTCTGTGATTGTGTACGTATGTGATTATGAGTGTATGTGACTGTGTATAGGTCTGTGATTGTGTACGTATGTGACTGTGTATAGGTCTATGTGCAGAGGTCTGTGATTGTATGTATGTTTGTGCATTTGTTTAGTAGAAAGCTACCCAAGTTGGCATCCTTAAATATGGCAATCCAAACAAGGGAGTTGTCTACTAAACAAACTGAGCTATATAAAAAAAAAAAAAAAAAATTAAAAAAATTACAATGCGTCTGATAAGTGGAGACTGGAGGTATTCCAAGGTTGAAATGTAAACTCTGCAATTTCTCTGAAAATAGAGTTTACTGAAAAAAAGCCAGGGAGGGACTGATTACACTCACCAGAACAATACAGTCACCCCCATTCTCCCCCTCTCTGCTCCTCCTACCCTGACATTAGGGACTTAATGAGCGGCAACCCACTCTCACGTTATTACTACCCACAGGAAAGCATTTAATCAATACTTTCCTATGGCATTTTAGTTAAAGCTGGATGTCCTTTTGCAGACTGTGCTGACATCCAGCGTTAAGTGACCAAAAGTCGCCTTACCAGCCGGAAACACCTCTAGTGGCTGTCTGGTAGACAGCCAATAGAGGTGGAGTTAATCCTGCAGTGTAATTATTGTAGTTTATGTACACAATGAGTGTTGAGAAATGTGTGTTATGATAAACCAGTGGATTTCTCTTGTGAATACCCCACACTTCAATAATGATCAATACTTACTCTAATTTCTTCACATCTTTTAGAGAAGTTGATTTAGGAAGTCCTTTCTTTAAAAGAATATCTGCTGTAAGTTTTGTCATTTTGGAGATCCACTGAATAAAAATACCAAACCCTTGATTTATTTTTTACCTTGAAACCTGTACATATATAAAAACAGAGAATTGTCAGAATTTCATCAAAAACATTTGGAAGTGCCCCTTGTGTGTTCTGCACGATGTGACAAGCAAGATAAAAAAAAAAAAAAAACACACACACCACACTTCATTCAGCACATACAAACATATTTACCAAACTAGGAGTTGTGAACTTAATTGCAAAATGTAAACACATTTTAGAATTCTGCGGTCAACTCTCCATCGTTCTTAAAACCAGGTGTGTCTAGGTCCACTAGACCTCAACAGAATTCCTTTTGAAACTCAGAACCTGCAAGTAAATGTAGCACCGCATATTCCTACAGACCAGAATGAATCCCACAATCAACAAATTGCTATTCACTAAGGTGTGAATTCCTTGCCACAAAACAGTTAAAGTCATAGCTTTGCCATTTATACCTAAAATTTGCAATGTGGTTTTCGATTCACTGCAAATTGCTGCTTGGTGAAAAGAAACTATACATTTCCTTTAGATGCCCAACAACCCACACTTCAGTAAACACCAAAAACTGTAATTAACCAAAATCTGAATGGCAATAACTTGGACCAAAATACTAGAAAAGTTCTCCAACTCATGTGTGGTTACACCATGGCTATTTTCCTTAGGATTTTGCCATTCTAATTTCAGTTTGCAGTTTAGTTACTATCCCTCCATGTACTTATTTTCATGATAGCAAATAAACAAGAGGCTGCCTCCATTACATACTGGCTAGCCATACAGATCTATGGAAATTATACTCATTATCAATATGGGACATGCAGGACCAGCCACACACCCTCCTTGTACACTGAGTAATTTCAGAGCAGAGCTACTTACCTGCCCTATGTCCACAGCTAGCCCAGGTGAGTGATGACTACTCCCTCCCCCTACACAGTTATGACCCAGCTACAAACTCTCCCTACTGCTGCATGCTTCTTATTCAAGCTGGCGCCAGGATGACGTCACTTCCTGCTTTATGTCAGGACACTGGAAGTGCTTGTTCTTGCCAGGTCGTGCATGGCTCCCGGGGAGAGCAGGGCGCAGGATGGCTGTGGCTGTAAAGGAATCCGGTCGTGTTTGCTGTGTGAGGACGGAGTTGGAGGAGCAGCAGCTCCCCAGAGTGTAACAAGTCGGGTAAATAGATCTATCTCGGCTCTGTCTTAGTGTTGCCTCACTGTATGTGAATGTTTTAGACTGCCTGTCCTATCATGCTCAGCCAGCCACTGGGTTGAATCAGGTCAGATTATATATATATATAAAACAGCTGGATTGCTACTGAGCACCCACCGCCTTCCTGCAAATTGTGATCAGAAACACCGTATACTAGAACAGGGGTAGGCAGCCTTCGGCACTCCAGATGTTTTGGACATTTCCCCTGATGCTAAGAGCATTATGGGAGATGTAGTCCACATCATCTGGAGTGCGGAAGGTTATCTAGCCCTGTACTGGAATTCCAATCTTGGTTCAGTTAAAGGGACACTCCAGGCAACCAGACCACTTCTGCCCATTGGAGTGGTCTGGGTGCCAACTCCCACTACCCTTAACCCTGCAAGTGTAATTATTGCAGTTTTTTATAAACTGCAATAATTACCTTGCAGGGTTAACTCCTACACAGCCACTAGAGGGCACTTTCTGCTCTATAGCACAGAAAGCCTGTGCTAGAGCGTCGCTGGACGTCCTCACGCTGTGTGAGGACCTCCAGCATCGCTCAATTCCCCATAGGAAAGCATTGAAACAGTGTTTACATTGCTGCCTAGTAACACCTCTAGTGACAGTCACTCAGACGGCCATTAGAGGTTATACCTGGGTCAGTGCTGGAGTGTGCAGCACCTAAATTAAAGATCGCCATAGGGATGCATTGATCCAATGCACCTCTATGAGGAGTTTATTGGCGCAGCGTAGTGTTTTGCCACGCATGCGCAATATTCTCCCAATGCAGTCCTATAGGGAAGCATTGGATTGGCTGAGATCATCAAAATTGACACCAGCCGCAGAATCAGCAACAATGTGTAGGGGGAAAAAGTGAGTAAAAACCCCTTTCCCATGTGATTGGAGGGGGGCATGTCATCTAAACATACACACCCTTTGACAGACACACACACTGATTTGATACACACACACTCCCTAATTTGGGAGGCTGGGGTCCAGTGGGGCTGCTGTCATTTCCATGCTCTGGTCCCTAGAGCGCTGTTTAGTGATGTAAGGGCTGGAGTGACGTCACATTCCGGCTCCCGGCAGCACTGGAGGACATGCAAGGGAACAGAGCAGGGAGATGACGGGTCCCTCACCGCCTCCCTCAGCTCTCCATGAGCCGACCGCCCACTTGCCTGCCTGTCTCCGATCGCCATGAGACGCCTGCCGCCTCCACTCCTAGGCAGCCGGTCACTTCTAGGGCTGAAAAGGCTCACAAAGCCCAGGGGTCCTGGAATTTGTCAATCCCTGTGTTATGCTTCCAGTTTGCCTACTTTGCCTACTTTGGCCTTCAACTTTGAATTAACTTTACATTTCTGACAAATCTCAATTTCTTCAGTAACTTTTCTCACTTTGAATTCTCTGTGTCTATTTCAGAATGTATGCAAACTGTTTTCCTCTATTAATATTTTTCAGAGCGTGGCAGTTATTTTCCTTACCATATGTCTAAATTGTTTTGCAGAGAAGGTCATTTATCTACAGTCCAGTTGAAGGCATTGCTCTTGGAATAGAAAACACAGAATCATCTGGTTGGGGCTTTCCATTCCCTGGAGTGTGTTTAATTCAAGATTTTGTGACAGAAGATGAAGAGCGAGAACTTGTGCAATTTATGGATCAAGAAGAGTGGAAGCTTTCACAGTCTGGTAGACGAAAACAGGTGAAAATGCTAGAGTTTGACAAAGGAAAAGGCAGAAACATTTATTTATGTATTTTTTACAAGTAGAGTTTTTATAATTTAAAAGGACCTTACTGGCACCAATACAAATTTAAGAATACCTTGATTGGCAGTTGAGTTGTCATGTCGGCGGCTGGGCTGACGTGTACACTGCATATTTACCAATAAATGAGACCTTATATGAAAAGAGGAAGAGTAACTATGCTACGTAAATCTGCAAAACATCTTAGTTTTGCTTTGGAAAAATAATTGTATTTAAAAACTATTTAAAAAAAAAAATACTGTATAAGCATGATGTCAAAACCTTAAATTAAATGTACTTAAAGGGACTCTCCAGTGCCAGGAAAACAAACCGTTTTCCTGGCACTGCAGATCCCCTCTCCCTCCCCGCCCCCCCATCCCAGGTTGCTGAGGGGGTTACCTGTATGTCCCTCGGCGCTGGTTCAGGGTCCGCCTACGCTCCTCCCCCGCTGACGTCATCCAGCGGGGGAGACCTATGGAGCATGTGTGGCCGGCGGCGGGGAAGACCTAATGCGCATGCGCGGCAATAGACCTTGCCATGGGACCTCCCCAAAATGCTTTCAATACTTTCCTATGGGGATTTCAGCGAATTTTCATGTGCTATAAACACGGACGTTAACCCTGCAAGGTAAATATTGCAGTTTATGAAAACTGCAATAATTACACTTGCAGGGTTAAGGGTAGTGGGAGTTGGCCCCCAGACCACTCCAATGGGCAGAAGTGGTCTGGGTGCCTGGAGTGTCCCTTTAATTGTGTGTCTCCAGAGTGTCTCTTTAAATGAACACACCAAACACCATAACCACTTGCTCACACTGTAGAGGTTATGGTGTCCTGGTACACTCCATTTTAAGTAGTCAAGCTTTTTTTTTTTTAGACCTAGTCGGAAATTAGTTGGTGGTTTTAGAAAACCTTGAAACTGTGCTTTTAAGATCTTCATGCTCCCGAACAACCTTATATGTACCCAGACACGCAGGGGTCCTGGGACTTCCCAACCTCACACAGTACCAACACGCAGCCCACCTTCCACGAATACAACACTGGCACCTTCCCCCCTGCCTGTAAGCGGTGGGTGGACTTAGAACACCTCATCTTTGGCCGCGACCATCCCTCCCTTTATATCTGGCTCCCGAAACAGCATATGCCGCTGCCAACCCCCACCTCACGAGCCATCACCTATTCCTTAGACCTCTGAGACCGCCTCAGCGACAAATTCGACCTATCCACAGGCCTATCCCCCCTCACCCCAATTCTCCACAACAAAATGTTCCCACCAGGCCTAACCCTGCAACACTATGCACAATAGGGACATCATCAGACTAGGGCACTTATACCCCAATGGTGAACTGCTACAATATGCCGACATCCCCAACTTCAACACTATAACCACCTTTGACAATTTCCGATACCTCCAACGCCGCAGCTTCGCCACATCCGCCCTCACCAAGTTCGAATGGGACAGCCTTTGCTCCCCCTCCCGAAAAAGCCAGATATCTGACCTATACATGACACTGACCACACACGACTCACAAATCATCTTACCATACATCAAGGCCTGGGAAAAAGACCTAGGCTCCCCAGACGACCCCACAGACTGGGCTGACATCTGGATGGCCATCAAATCAATATCAATTTGCGTTACCCACACAGAACAAGCCTACAAAATGCTTTTCAGGTGGTACCTTACCCCCATCCGCCTTGTGGCAATGAAACACATCCCCACCAACCTTTACTGGAAAATGTGCGGCGAAACGGGGACATTCATCCACTGCTGGTGGACCTGTCCCAAGCTCACCCCCCTTTGGAAGACCATCTCAGACCTCCTAACAAGGTTGCTCTCCAGACCAGTCCCTCTGGATCCTTGGGCCCTACTACTCTCGAAACCCATTGCCCCTTTTACCCGCAACTAAAACAAACTCATTGCCCTAGCCACCCACTGAGCGATAGCATAGGTGTACCCCAGGCACATTTGACCCACAAACTATACCTCAGATTGGCTTCACCACTTCAAGCAGAACTGGTTACCGTCCCTACTTGAGGCCCAACTCCCCAGTCAGACCTCTCGCCCCTAAAGAGAGCCATGACGGACGAACCTAGCCTTCTCACCAGCCGTGTGACCCCCAACATACACCAGACCACACAAAACCGGTATAGACCTGATGATACTACCTGTATTTTATGTGCCATGTCAATGAACGTTAAGACCGATGTTATGTCTTAATGTTACTACTTCATTACTCTTCCTTTCTGTAAAATAGTCTTTTCAAAAACAATAAATAAAGAATCTTTAAAAAAAAAAAAAGAAGATCTTTATGCTCAATAGTCGTAAAGACTTTATGATAACACTTGCGGCCGCCCATTGTAAGAGAGCACAAAAGTAATTTGACAAATAACAGGCACTCACAGGCTCGTGGCCCTATAGCCACTCCAATAAGCTGGAGTTATGTTTAAGTGCACCTAAGTAACAGTTTCTTAAAATGCACTGTATTTTTGCAGTTTGTCACATTCATAAAAGGAAAAAAATGACACTACATAAAGCAATTAACAAATTAAATTGATTTTAATTCCTTTTATATTTTTTTTTTTGCAGGATTTTGGTCCAAAGGTGAACTTCAAGAAACAGAGGCTAAAAGTTGGTAACTTCACAGGCCTTCCTAGTTATAGCCAAGCCCTTTACCGTAGGATGAAGCAGTATGCTGCTCTTGAAGGATTTCTGCCTGTTGAGCAATGTAATTTAGATTACAACCAAGACAGAGGATCAGCCATTGACCCACACTTTGATGATTCTTGGCTATGGGGTGAACGATTAGTTAGTTTGAATCTTCTGTCAAGTACTGTGCTCACTATGACAAGCGACTCTATAGACGGAATCCAACTGTTGCCTATTGTAGATAGCAGTTCAGAGTTAAACAATATTAAATCTAACCATTGCAGTGGCATAGACATTACACAGTCTTCCTTTCAAGAGAATGCAGTGGATGGTAAACCCCAGGCTAAGGTAATTCCATATAGTGATGTAGACGTTGCTATACATTTACCACGAAGATCCTTAGTTGTTGTATATGGAGATGCTCGATACAAATGGAAGCATGCTATTCACCGTGAAAACATCAAGCAACGCAGAGTTTGTAGCACCTTCAGAGAATTGTCCGCAGAATTTAGTTCAGGCGGCAAGGAAGAGAAACTTGGACAAATGTTACTAGAAATAGCACTTGGCTTCCAGGGAACATCCGTTTAATGTTAGCATGAAAATACATGTATCTAGTACTCTCCTTTCTCAGTTGTAAAATGCGCCCAGAAGAAAATATGATATGATAGCAATTTATAACATAGCCGCTAAAACAAGTAGAATGAAAATAGAATGGATGAATGTTACTGAAGAAATGAGAATCTTTGCAGGATATCACAAATAATCATAAACCATAGTGGTGTAAATAAGATAACCCTCAGCCAATAATCCCCTCTAACATTTCACACGCAGGATAAATAGCATTTAAATGCTCATATTAAATGCGTGTGTCTTCTTTCATTAGTATTTCAGCTTCACAGCCTGAGGACACAGCAATAAGTCCACGGGGCAAAATAATAAACAGTGGGACACTTTACGTAACTACATTTGTTGGCAATTGTAAAAATCGCTGTGCTGGAAATTTTGATTTTATCTTGTGAATGCATTTTAACGTAGCATAACAAAATTAAATGTGCTATAAAACTACACTATGGATGTTCTCTGCTCTTCTTTTCCAGTTTATTAATGTACATATGAAGAAGCCTGGTTCCTGGCAATGGAAATGTATTTGCTTATTATGAGCATTTAAATGCTTGCTATCCAATAGAGGGAACTATTGGCATAGGAGTATTTTATTTACAGAGAGCACTATTGTATGTATTTAATGGTTATTTGTTATAGGACATTCACTGTTGGTGATGTATTCAATTCTTCAGTAATATATGAATTATTTTTATTCATTTGTTTGGTATTTTAATTATTAGCGTGATTGTACAGGAGGGAACATAGGTGAATAGAGTTGTAAGTGTTATTGTTGTATTATTACGGCATAACATTTTGCCAATACTTTTTAATAGTGTGTATTACTTTTACTGTATAATTCTATAGGCTGAGTGCTCCATAATACCCAGCATTAAGGGAGTGTGCAGATACACACAGCACAGAAGCATCCTACATCCAAACTTCAGTTTATGTAATGTTTTATTTTGTATGTTTATTGGCGATTGCCGCTAACAGAGGACACTTTAGCCACTGTAACAATTATAGCTGATTGACTTTGGGTGCAATAACCATATTACATCAAACTGAGCCGTGGTACAAGCCTGAAACTTCTGTTATTACTGAGATAATGTAGAAATTTCCCTTTAGTATTGCTTGTTCAAAGCTGTACAAGCTTGTCTTTGGATGAATAACACAGAAAGGAAACTTTCACAGGGGATTGACAGAAAAAGTGATGATGGCACTTAAAGACTGCATGCGTTATAACCACTATAAAAATCTGTACTGTTTGTGATGCTTAGTGTCCCTTTAAGTGCAATGACACAGGAATGTATTCTGGAGACCGTTATATGCTTTGAATTAAAAAAAAAAAATTGGCAACCAAACTACAAAAACTAGTATAAAATATTAGTGTATTTGACAATTGTTCTTTTCGGATGGTTTTTTTTTTTTCTTTTGGTAAAGCTTCTTTGATGATTTCCCATGAGTTCATAGCACCGTGCATGGAGAAGGTTTCATTGTGAATTCTTTGCCTAAACAACAATAAAATTGGAATGACAGCTTACATGCCCATGATTCAAGTGAGGTTACTTTTATCTATAGCTTTACGTTAAAGCTTGAAGACTGCTTTTCTTAATACAGAGTGGGTCAAATTTCAGAGTAGGATTTGAGGAATCAATAATTTTTTTTTTTTTCTTAATGAACCAATTTCAGTGATATTACATAAAATGAATACTTAGCATATGGAGATTTTCTTGACTAGTTACGGAAGATGACATCTTTTAAATGAGCTTCATTTGCACGCAAAGTCAGGCTCTTTCGATTGCATTGTTTATAACATTAGTTAATATTTGAGGCTTTAGTAATGTACCTGTCAAATCCTACTCTGAATTTTAGCTCACCCATTATATACACCTAATTTGTTGTTTGTATTTTTTCTTCAAATCATGATTTTTAATAATTTTTTATTAAACCTAGATCATTTATAAGAGTCTTGATTGTGTTTGTCCAAAAGTAGTTATAGTGGAGTGCCTAGTGAATTATTTTAATGTGATACTAATTTATATAAATACCTTATTAAAGTGAGAATCTTATCAAGTGCAATCTCAATCTTTTACATTTTTGAGCAAATATTTCTAAAATCTTATAAGGTCCAAAAAAATGAAGAGAAAAAAAATAAATATATATATAATATAATATATATTTGTGCTCGGAATTTAATATGTAATGGATAGTGTCAGATGAAAGTTGGTTGTGGTGTGCCAAAACCAACTTCCGAGTGGGCCCGTAAATAAAAGAGGGCCCAACAAGGAGAATTGTATGTTCTAAGGGTGCTGGTGGGTGGGGGAACACTTGAACTTGAACGTCAGAGGTGAGTAGGGGCCTGGGAGTTTAACCCCTTAAGGACACAACTTCTGGAATAAAAAGGAATCATGACGGAATATTTCCGTTATATGTCCTTAAGGGGTTAAGAAGGGGACTTACTCCTCCCACAAATTCAGGCCTACTGGCCTTTCTACTTGTGCTCGGAATTTAATATGTAATGGATAGTGTCTGAGATGAAAGTTGGTTGTGGTGTGCCGAAACCAACGTCCGAGTGGGCCTGTAAATAAAAGAGGGCAAAGAGAAGTTTGAAAAAAAAAAAACACACTTTATTACATAACTAAATTCCTGAATGCTTGGCGGAGCTCTCTTTCTGGTCGTGGAATGTACGTATTGTATATGGAGGATTTTTTTTACACATAAAATAAAGTCTGTGTGTGTATATATGTAACGAAATCCCCTATTGAACAGACTATGCGAACCAGCCTGTTCGGTTATTTAGATGTGTGTGGAGTGATTTCGTGCAAATAGCGAGAAAACGAATAAACTGCCGAATCACCTGACCTCCTACTGAGATCGTGTGGCGCCCATTAACCACCCAGACTTTGCGGTTAACCACAGACGAATTGGGGAATAGCTTGGTGGTCCACGTTCGTCTACCGAACACGTGGCAGTCGCCATTTTAGCGGTAAATGGCGGGGATGCCCTGGAACTCTTTTTCGGATACTTATTCTGCCGAACACCGCTGCTACCTATCAAGGTCCTCGTTCATACAGTGGAAAACGCACGAATGCCAGAGACCCTGCACCATTCGAGTCTTGGATGTATGCGAAAGTGACCGACCCCAGATAGCTACAGTATGGAAATTTTTGTCGGATACAAACACGCGAACTGCCGGTGAAATCCAAACTTCAGTCGACGTTTTTGAGAACTGTGTTCGTGGGATCTGAGCGCTATTCGCCTAGAATATGCACTCCGATCCAAGCTATCTGGGGGTACGTGGGACTTAAAGTTTATGTTCTGTAAAATGTAAGTTATAGATTTTTATGCTGTTTGGTGACTATAAGAAAAGCCATGTTTCTTTCTACCTGGAGATAATTAAGGCTCTCTTTACTACCTTAAGTTAATTATCTCCAGGATGGAAAGGAGGGAGTGATCTATGTAAAAGGGGAGTGCTTATGTTATAGCCACTGTGATTGGCTACTGTAATTCTTTTGTCCCAGTCTTCCATCTGGTCCCCTAGGGGAGTGTCCACCAGGTGGGAGACCTGCATAAATACCGGGCAGGTAGCCCACAGTAAATCAGATCGTTCTACCCCTTCATGAAGTCTCGACTCATGTTTGGGGGATTGGAAGTTATAATCACTTCGTTTCAGCTGGATTTCGGGAGAAGCTGCAAGGATCACCGCTGCACGAATAGAAGGATCCTTTACAATATATATCAATATCACTTCACATATTATTAGAATTACTATAGAACCAAGTACATTCAAAAAAGAAACCAACATTAAAATTTGTATTTTATGCAATTTATTGTACTAATAGTGCAAAATCAAAAATATAGTGATATCCTTTTACATTTTTAAAACTTTGCTTATGATTTTAAACAAATCACTTAAACTGACTATGTACTAAAAAACACTATATCTTAATCCCAGACCCTGTCCCTGCACTCTGGCAAATCTAAACATTACTGTTTATGAGAAACAGCAATACTTACGTTGCTAGTCAACCAGCCACTAGAGTTACTTTCTTGAAAACATTCAATAATTAAAAGGCTTCAAGTTCTGCATCACAATGGTTTCCATGGAGTGTTACACTCACTTTGCAGGATTTGTAATCTGTTTACTTATTCACGACATTTAGCAAATATGTTTGAGATCTGAAAAATAAAATTTATGCTGCTGTATTTATTTCCTTCTTGGAACTGAGTACCTCATCTTGAATCCCTGCCAGTAATTGTTGTAAACATTTTGTGCCAAAGAATATAGTGGGAAAGGAGATGTCAAGTATTTTTCTAAGGATAATTTTCCATAGAAGTGATAGCTTCGCTTTAAATGGCAACTCTAAGCACCTTAAAAAAACAGATTGGCTCATTACTTTCTTGCACCTTGTTTTTTTTGCTCTCCCTAAATTGAAAGGGTAATCCAGAAGTGGACCCCCTTGCTCACGGTGCCTAAATGGATATTGGCTATACCTCACTGATGATGACTAAAAAGGTTAAAGCAATCGTCAGGAGTTTATGCAGAGAGAGCTGGGCTGCATTTTGAGTCTTTTCCACCCTTTTGGGTTGGATCAGTGTGATATGTAAATAGCCTGGTTCTTTTTGTAATGGCACAAGATAAGCTAAAACCAGCTTGTGATCTTAGCAGGGACCCACAGAAGGGCAATTTATTTGAGCTGTTGTCCATTCTCAGTAATCATTATACAAAAATCATTACAGCCCTATTGCAGAGTGACAACAAAACAGGGATTTTACGTCCTACTTTGTCATCCAAGATACATCCAACTTATGTGTTTGGTGTGCGCACACCAAGCACCTATCATTCTATGGCTCTAACAGGTGGCTCATGAGATCACTGTAAACCAGACTGTGAATATGATCGCAATGTTGTGGCTGTCAATCTACTATTATAGGCATTTATATAGTGCCAACATATCCGGTAGAGCTGTACAGTTGTAGTGAGGGGTATAAGGAAAAAACAAAACTATTACAAGCCTTTATTGAGGACCCTGATTATGATGGAGTTCCACTCATTGTCTATTATATCATGGGAGTAAATAAAAAAATTTAAAAGCCTAGATCAGAAAGAGAGGCTGCTGACTCATGATGTTTCATCCTAATCTGGAAGTGGTCTGCTTGGTGCAAGCAATTGGGAACTCCAGTATTATGTTACTATAAACGTATCGTATTGACGTTTAAAAGATAATTCTGACAGTGTTGTTTACTGATGGCAATTCAAATTATAGGCTATAATAGCAGAATTGAAAAAAACAAGCATTTTCAGCTAGATTTTCAGTGAGACAGTTTCTGCAGAACTCACTATAGCGAACACTTTTGTGAAGAAAAGGGAGACTCCAGGCACTGTAACGGCTTCATCTCATTCAAGTGGTTATAGTGTCTGGAGAGCCCTTGTGCTATCCCTATAATTACTGGTAAACCTTGATTAATTAACGCTAAACGAGAGACTGCAGCAGCCCATCCTCTCTCTGCTACTCAACTGATAAAAACATTTTTTTTAAAGAATTACCATAAGCAACTGTAGGTGGCAGTGATTGACTGAGAGTGTCAGCTTTAAATGCTTGGAAATGCTGCACAATACAGAGTTTAACTCCTTTGCTGCTGGAGGTGTAATAATGTATTCTTATGCACATGAGTTGCATTCATTGACAGAGAGCAGTCAGATGATACTCAAGTCAATGAATGGTGGTGGGATTGGCTTCTGGCTGCTGCAGCTCTGCAGAAGATTAATGCATGTCACTGGCCACTCGGGGACCTTCCTTCTGCAACAGTCAAGGACCCAGGTAAGAGTGTAAAAATGTTGCAAAACAGTTTGCCCCGTTACCGGGAAAATGGGCCACAGTACTCCTGACATCATAACCACTACAGCAGCCTGTTATGATGTTTGAAGTAAACCTTTAATCACAAATGTATTTAAATACATTCAATACATAATAATTAAAGGGACACTATATAGTCACCAGAACAACTACAGCTTATTGGATTTGTTCTGGTGAGTAGAATCATTAGGTTCAGGCTTTTTGCTGTAAACACTGTCTTTTCAGAGAAAATGCAGTGTTTACATTACAGCCTAGTGATAACTTCACTGGCCACTCCTCAGATGGCTGTTAGAGATCCTTCCTGGGTCTTGGCTGCCTAAAATGCATCCAAACATTCAGTGTCTCCTCCCTCTGCATGCAGACACTGAACTTTCCTCATAGAGATTCATTGATTCAATTCATCTCTATGCAGTGGCGGATCCAGAGCCTGATCTCGGGAGGGGCACTTGTAGATTATTTAAAGAAATAATCCTGACACAATAACCACTACAGCTCAGTGTAGTGGTTATGGTGTCAATAGTGCCGGGACCCCCTCCTAGAGTAAGTAGTCAAACCGTTTAAGAACAGTTTGACAACTTACCTGAGGTCTGCTGGGAAATGGGGCGGTAGTAGGGCATAGGAGCAGTGGTGTGTGTGAGTGGTGCAATGTGTAAGGGGTGCAGTGTGTGTGTGAGGGGGACAGTGTGTGTGAAGGTTGTAGTGTGTGAGTAGGCAGGGCAGTGTATGTCAGGGATGCAGTGTATGTGTGGGACAGTATGTGTGTGTAACAGTTGCAGTGTGTGTGTGAATGTGGGCAATGTGTGTGTATGGGGCGGCAGTGTATGGGGGCAGTGTGTGTGTATGGGGGCAGTATGTGTGTATGGGGGGCAGTATGTGTATGGGGGGGCAGTATGGGGGCTATGTGTGTGTGTGGGTAGGGGGGGCTTTTTTTATAATAAATATCTTTATTTATTCTGTATACCTTTATCCTTCTTACCTTTATTGAGGAGGAGGGGGGACATATTTTCATCCCTGGTGCTCTCAGTGGTTACAGTGAACTCTAGCCCGCGCTCGGCTAGAGGAGCGTTGCCGAGTTTGGAGCGTTGCCAAATCGCGCGAGAGGAGGACTCGGAGGAGCTGCAGACTGAGCTCCCGGGTCCTCCCTCTCCCTCCCCTGCCGGCTGTCAGCACAGTGCCTGCGGACCGGGGAGGGAGATCTCTGATCTCCCCTCCGGTCCGCAGGCACATTGCAGGGCTAGCACCTGCATGTGCTGGCAGGGGAGGGAGACCGGCGGATTTCTCGGGGGGGGCAATTGCCCGGTTGCCCCCCCCCCTGGATCCGCCAGTGTCTCTATGAGGAGATGCTGATTGGCCAGGGCTGTGTTTGAATCATGCTGGCTCTGCCCCTGATCTGCCTCTTTGTTAGTCTCAGCCAATCCTCTGGGGAAGCACTGTGATTGGATCAGGCTACCACTTCTGATGATGTCAGCAGGCAGCTTGTTTTTCTGAGGCAAACAGCATGCAGAGTTACAGATTCAGGCTTGAATACAGTAGGATTTTGCTATATTTATGGAGGCATGAAGGGCCCAGGGGGCTAGATGGTGGTTTTAACACTATAGGGTCAGGAATACATGTTTGTGTTCCTGACCCTATAGTGATCATTTAAATACATATACAGCTGCTAGTTATTAAGCTGTCTGGTATCATCCTAGAAGGTTACCACCATTTCACCCACACATTTGGAGCAGCAGTCCTTATAAAATTATAGTTGACTTTTTATTTATGACAAATGGGTTTTCTGCCTTCCTGGAATCTTGCTGATACTACAAACTGTAGTGGTTATGGTGTTCAGGCACCAACACAACTTCATCTAATTGAATCACAAATATCACTTACTTAAAAAATAAGATGAAAAGATACCAGGAGCTACAGAAAAATCACAGATAACCAATAGTTAACGTTGATAGTAATGCTCATTGTATAGGAATAAAAAAAACAACTCAGATAATATCATAAAAGGTAAATCCACAATACCAAAAATGGAATAAAAATAGTAATAATAAGTCCACAATAACTATAATGGGATAATATGATATAAGTCCATGAAGGCTAGAGTAAAATGGTGAATAATAAGTCAAAAATGGTAGAAAAAGATGGAAAAAAATAAATTATAAAGACAGAAATAAAATAGAATAAAAATAAAAATGGTCACTCCACAATGTGTAGCATAGGGGTAAATGCACCATATATGTGTATAGATGACACAATCAAGTCACCCTTATGACACGAATATAATTTACCCAAAAGTTAGGAAATATAAATATATGCAATCAAATAGATAGCAAAACAGTACAAAGGGAACTGTATGCTAAACAGAGGCTATATGTGCCAAAAAAGATGCTCTTCAAATTTTTTTAATGAATTGATAAAGTTAAAATAATCCATAATAAAAGTGCAAAGATGTGTAAATATTGACTCTGAACAATCTTCACTTAAACCTGGTATGGCGATCCGGCAGATAGATGAGATTAGTGGGAGCTGCAGTCCGCTCTGTGTGTGAGCTGCCGGTGAGGTGGGCGTGCATTCCACAGAGCCTTCCACCTGAAGCCTCACTCCAGGATACGCCCAACTTGTCTCTGGATCAGTCTTTGGTAGTTCTCCAAAGGAAAGTAGCAGCAGGTTAGTGAGAGGTGGGACTGCCTGATAGTCGTCAAAAACGTCCAATGCTTTGCCTTACGTGTTTCACGAGGATACGGCCTCACTTCACATCTGTAGCTCCTGGTATCTTCTCATCTTATTTTTTTTTTTTTTTAAGTAAGGGATATTTGTGGTTTTATGTACATTTGGAGGACTGGTGACCCTCTTTCCAGTTTTTGAGCTACTTTTTCAGTTTTTTTTTTTTTTTTAAATCTACTCCTACTTACTCTATTTAGCCTGACTTCTCTGTGCTGTGTTTCTGTATGACACTCTTGCGTGTACTTTTGTGCTATATTGTTGCCATTTCATCTAACTGAAGTTGTTATGGTGCCAGGAGACCCCCAGGCACACACCTTTAGGGGTTAAACCCTTAAGTTGAATCCAGTGTCGAGCACAGCTCCCCACACCGCTACTTCCTGATTTTCAGATTCATGAAACACATTTAAACCCTGAAGGTAAGTGTGTGCCCGGATGACTCCTGGCATCATAACTACATCTAGATGAAGTTCTTATAGTGCCTCAAGGGAACGAAACAGTCCCTTTAATTAAAAGGGTGGTAATACTGCATATAATCTGGGGGATCTACCTTTTGGGCACCCCTGGCATATAAGTTTCGATTCAACACCGTAGGACTTGCCTATAAAGCATTTAACAGTGCTTCAACCTACATATTCTCTCTTTCCATCCAGACCACTTTGCCGATGACTTACAACTTCTCTTGGTTTGCACCACAAACCCAACATCAGTTTTCAAGATTACTCCACAGCTGCGGTCTTGCTTTAACCTACTTTTCATTTTTCACAAATGCCTTAAAACCCCAACTCATCAGAAAAGCATGTGATTTATTTTCCTGTTATATTCTACCTTTCATCTTTATTCAACCCTACTCTAGTTGGCAGACTATGCCATCACTGGAACCTGTCTGCATAGTGCACCGTTTATCATTTTCTAATCACTGTCCATGATATAAATTACAATTGTAAATTAATAGGCTGAAGACTACAAGAAAGTGTATTAAAACATTAGGGGTCAAAATTTACACCTGGCACTAGCTATTGGAGAGTAAAAATTCAGCCCCGGTAAGTGTGCCATGGACTCCCCAGGTGTAAGCAGCAATTTTTTAAGACCTGGCTACTAGCACTGGACTTTAAATGTTAAAGCGGCACTGTAAAATCTTTGTGACAGAATATAGACATAAAATGTGACGGCAGATAAGAGCCATTTGACCCATCTACTCTTCCCAATTTTCTAAATACTTTCATTAGTTCCTGGCCTTATCTTATATGAAATACTCATTAAGACTCACTGAAATTCCAATGAGAAAGAGACACAAAGTAGTGACTACTTTGTCTCTGTATTTTTCTCCGCTTGACTTTACTTGACACAAGACGGAGCCTATGTGCCAATCCCTGCAGCCATCACCAGTGACGGCTGCATCTATGGAGGGTCTTGCAGGGATTCCCAGTAGGACCTCAATGCTGTACTCTTGCGCACGTAATGGTGACCGTGACACTTTAAGGCCTAAAACAACTCTTTGGATTTTTACAGTAAATAAAGGCAGAAGATGAATGTACAATAACATTCAAATACATTTTTTTAACCGTATGTGATATAAAAACAGTGTATATTAGGTGGATATAGCTATATATCTTGAGCCATCCCAAGTTAAACAGATTAAAAATAAACTGTAACTTTATTGAGTTGTCATCCAACATGTTTTGTTTTACAAACTCATTATTCCCCCTCTAACATAAGAAGAAAAAATAAAAATAAAAATCTTTCTAAAAAGCTTCTTGAATGAAGCAGCACACAGTTGAACCTTCAGGACAATTCTTATTATCCCAGCTACATTTTCTGAACTATAGAGTGGTTAAATCATATTTGTATAGGGGAAACAAATTATATTTTTTAAATGTACAAACTTCTGGTCAGTCAAATTATTTAATCTATTGTCTTAAAGCGGAGAAGGACACTGTGGAGAACAAGGAATAACTGCTATTAACAGAGCTCTGTTTTATGGTTCATAGCTAGATCTGTTTCTCTGTAAATCCCACCAATTCAGATCATCTCTGTCAGTAGGCAACGGTGGCCTTTTAACTTTTATCTTCCTCTTCCGATTTGTCATCATCACTTGGCTCTGGAGAGTTGTCAGCATCCTTGTTAGTATCTAAAATGGATATAGGGGAAAAAAATAAAAATAAGTGGTTGCATGCAGTCAATTTACATACCAATACAAAAGTCTTGCAAAGTAGAGTTAGAAGCATATCAGATTGCATTTTAAGGCGACACGGTCACTAAATTTGCCTTACATAAGATCAATTCAAAACAATATTTTTTAGGTGAGACTAACAGCTATTACCACTTAAAGTTCTGTCCATTTTTGAGTGTGGGTGTATCAACCTTAGAATTATGTCAACAATTTTCAACCCTGAGTGGCAGTTACACACAGAGAAAACTGTTAAAATAAATAAATCAGACAACCAATCAATCATGATACTTCCTGTTAGTTTAGCTAAACCCAAGAAGCAAGCAATTGCTCAAAGCACCTAAGTAGTAGAGTTAAAGAGTATAATGGGGAAGCTGCCGCCAGTTCACTTTTTGCTGTACTCCCTCAAACAGGGAATAACCAAAACACACGTCGGGTCTCCTTGCTCCCTGTCACTTTTTTGGTAGCACACTATGGGTAGCATTTTTTTTTTTCCCTTTTTCAATTACGTATATACTTTCAGTCTTAGAGCTGGTGGTTTAGATAGGCACGAGTAGTTGAGCTACGATAATGAGTTACTAGGGACCGTATGAGAGCTTAGGTTAGGCTCTTCTTACGCCGATTTGCATGCGATAACTGTGGACTTGTTTGACCCTGGTGGTCTGTAGTTTTCTTCCAAACTTTAACAGGGGTTTACAATCTAGCATCCCTACATGGCTCTTAGTAGCCACATTTGTTACTGTATTTAGAGTACTTTTTAACACTGTTTTAATTTCAATACAATTTCTTTCCTTCCTGTCCCCTTCTATCTAAGTGGTCCTTACTGTGTTTTTGTAAATTGTTCAGAGCATATGCCTTCCAAAGATTTGAAAATGAGGTGCACTACATTTTACTAAGAAGTCTGTGATTGTGCTCAGTAAAAAGAGAAGGTCTTGCAGTAGCTGCAGGTATTAGATATGCAGCTATTGCAAGCCAAGATTGCATATATCCTCAATAAAAACCATGTTAAACGAATTACATGCACTAGCTATTGGAGAGTAAAAATTCAGCCCCGGTAAGTGTGCCATGGGGCTACATCTACTAAATTTTTTTTTTTATTTTTTTTTTAATTGAGTGTTCCTTTATGCAGTGTGTGTATGTATGTATAAATATATATCTATCACTGCACTAGAGCCCTTATCAAGTTTAACATTGACAGGACTGTTTATTTTATACGTCTTAACAAAATATATCCCATGTGCACAAAGTGTGGATGAATCAAAATTTAAATCATGCTCATTAGCCCCATATTGTAAAACATGAATATGTTGCATGACATATTTCCATTATGATGTTTTATAAAACATTTTTGGTAAAAGGGAAAGTTTAAAAACAAATTACTTCATTTTAATAAAGTGAGTTTGTGGCATACATGATGCCCATTAGAACTGTTCTTTTTGCAATCACCACACCTTTTATTGGCTGTCATTCAGACAGCCACTAGGGGCCTCATATTAATATCCATTCAATAACGGAATCTATTTCACATCCAGAGTCAGCCTATAATGCAGCTATGTATGCTGTATATATTCACAATGATTCTTTGTTAGAAACAGGACAGAAGTCCTCAGAGTTTAGCAACTTCACAGTAGGTGGAATGGGCTGCAATGATGAGTATGTCTTGGAGCAGGAATACAATCAAGTTGAAATTTTATTTATTTTTTTAAATAAATGAAATAAATCTAAAATAATAATTTTTTTTTTTTTTTTATTCTAATTTATTTATTATCATTCGAACGTTCCTTTAAAGGTTTCTAAAAATTATTTCAGTGAAATAGTCTATTTTATCCATATTTTCTTCAAAGCAGTGTGTTATTTATTATATATTCACAATTCAATCGAGAATACTGATGAATTAACCAAATCAGTCCGTGTAGGATTATGGGCAGCTTCTGTTTTTAGTCAGAAGAAAAAAAATAAAAAATAATAAATAATAATCATCATCATCCAGGATCAGAACTCACTCAAAATGTTTAAGATTGTGAAGAAGGCAGCACGTAGCATACTAAATCACCAGCTTACACATTGAGATTGACATTGGTTTTCTACACAGGACAACAAAATACATACAATAGAATACTTGTACATTTTGTCATATAGAATTTTAAAAAAATCCAAACCTTTTTCATCTTTTTTTGCCTTTTTTGCCATCATCTTCTCCTTCAACTTTTGCCTATGACAATACAATAAACATGGACAATGACGCAATAGAATTTAAAATTATGTATAAAAGAATAGTAAAAAAGTGAGCAAGAGCAAAGCACTGATGGACTGTGGCTCTTTGGGGCCTGCACATGGTTTGGACAATCATAAAATTGGTTGAAGAGGTGAAAGCTCCTTACTGTAGTATGGCCAAGCTATTGTACAGAATAAGCAGCATGTATCCTCTACTCTCAAGCTTCAGTTTCTGACTGGGTGGAGGAGGAGAAATACGATGCACAATATTTCCCTGCGCTAAATCTATTGGAGTGTTGAGGCTGTAGAGAAGCAACAGCCTAGCAGAGAACAACCATGCTAGACACCAACAACATCAAAGGTAGGATAGATGGGTGGAGTGATAGACAAATGCATGTAATAATACAGTTGTGAATGGGGGTGCTTGAATGGAGAGGAGAAGAGAGATAATTACTTAAAGGGACACACCACTGCTAAATACAAAATAAATAATAAAAAACACTGTTTAGTAGATATGCCCTCAGTGAAAACATGCACGCATTTAATGGTGATTTTTTCCATTGGGGTTATATCTAAGAACAGCTTGCCATAGCTGCAGATCTCTTGTCTGAAGCTTTTGCAGTCCCTCATCTCTAAGCCAAGACTTTCTTTAACTGACCAATTACAAACTTCCCAACGTAGCTCAATGAGAAGTCTTTGCAAGGCAGGTGCTCTGGGCAATAGCCGCCTCTTTATTTATGTTGATATTAATATCATGTTGTAATGCCCCACAGGAAAATGAGCTTCAGTTGTTCACCAAAAAAAAAAAAAGAAAAAAAGAGAAGACAGATACCGTTTTAATCTGCGCTTTGCCGTTTTCTCTTCTTGCAAGATTTTGTTCTGCAATAATTTTCTTTGAAAATCTTCATCTAGCTTTTGCTGTAATACAGTAGTATATGGATTACATTAAAAAATAAAAACATTGTATGAATTAGTATATTCAATATTGCCTTACAGCATGCAATATATACACACACGCATAAATATATATTTTTTTTTTTTTTTATTTTTTTTTTAATTAAGTGCAAAACTGTATAATAGTACATTGTAAAGGTCTGGTGGAAATGTTCACAGACTAGGAAAGAAAAGGAAAATCTGTCCTACACAATGTAAATAAAAAAAATGTAGATATAAGAGAGAGCAGTTAAAAGATTTTGTTATACTTTATTATCCAAAATAAAAAAAAAAAGGGGCGGGGGGGAGATAAAGAAACCTACATACATAGATAGGGATTACCTAAAAAGGGTAAATCCTTGCACAGTGATAGCGGATGCAGCAATGTATCAAAAGGATGGTTTGTATAGTGTAACTGTAAATAAGTTACATGAGAGTCAGATGATATTTGGCAACGGTGTATCAACAGTGCATAAAAAGGATTTTATACAACAGTATACTCAAAACTGTCAATTCAGATTATTAACCTATGTAGCCGCCAAATACTAAGGCTGTGAAAATAATGTACCAGCTAAAGAGCTTACAATACACGGCCTTCCGTGGTCAGTTCTCAAGATGTACTTGAGGTCTGACAGGGTATATAGAAAGGAGGTGGAATTAATATCGGAAAAGATTCTAGTTGTTAAGCTGCAAACTCACTACACCATATAGTACTAAATGTAAAATCTATGCGGCAAAAAGGATGCTGGCAATACAATGCTATTATCATGCCATAAGGTGACTCCCCACAGAGTGAGATTCTGGGAGTCACCAGAAAACTGGCTGGGAATTTAGTATGTATATCTCACCTAGTTGCTCACTAGGTGAACAACCTTTTGGTGAACAACTAGTTGCTCACTAGGTGAGATATACAGACTAGTATTTAAAATTCAGTATTAAATAAGCATGCAACATTTCGACAGTAAATTGAAGAAAGACAGAAGAAACAATTAACCTTATCAGACATAGAATCCATAAATTCCTGTCTCTGGTACTCCCTTCGACGAAGGTGCCGATACACATGAAACTCGCCACTTCCTGCCCCTGCACTGGAACCTGAAAATATCAACAGAAGAAAACAATTTTTTCCAGAACACCTTGCACTGAGATTTGTAGACATGTTAATGTGATGTGATATTTGTATACACACTGTAACAAAGTTGGTAGACTTAGATGTCTGGTATTTGCAGTTCAATGTTGATCACTATCTCCACAACATAACAGTGCTGCATGAGGAGACTTATTTTTACAGCTTTCAGTAGCCTGAAATCTTGCGACAAAGATTCAGAAAGAGACGCTAGTATGTGTATATTTTAACTACAAGATTTGTTTCCAGTACTTGGGCAAAACTTAGCATGCCCATTATAATATCAATGCTCTTAATTTAGTGCTTAATAACCATTTACATGAACACAAACATTAAATATAAATACATTTCCTTTTTTATTTATTTTAGATAAAGAAACCCTAAAATTTAAATGTAAACCCCCCCCCCCAAAAACAAACAAAACCAAACAACAGCAATTAAGCCTGTAACCCAGCACCAGGACATGCTCCTCTACACTGCAGTGGCTCCCTTGATGAGATCATCCCAACTGCTGATCTCTCTCCAATCATTAATATAAAGAAGCATTAAGGACACATTGAACAGTACAAATAATTGCGGTAAAGTGTAATACAAGTAAATAAATGTTTCTAAAATAGTTACATGTTAAAAATACTAGCAACCAACAAAGTGAAGAGCTCAAACACTAGCATTGAATACATAAAGTATAAGGAGCTCTGTGCTATATGTACTACTGTAGAATGTTACAATCATCTTATTTAGTGTGATTTTTAAATGCATAGTTCAACTTATATTTATAGTTTATGTACAACAAATACCCCACTCTGCCAATTTGAAGCTTCTCATAGAAGCACCAAATCCAATCCTTCACTAGACTATAGCAGCATAGCATTCTGTTATCACATATTGAGTGATGAACCTGTATGTGAAGACCAATTATTTTCAAAGGTCTTAAAAGGGACACCAAGCATCAAATAAAACCACGCCTCTCATGTCTTTAAGACAGACAGCCACTAAGGCTCTCTCTCATGAAGACTTTCTAAAATAAAAGATCTTCACATTCAGTGTCATCTAACCTAAAATGATGATGTCCATAAATGCTGCACAGAGAAGCACTGGATTCAGTGGTTCTGTATGAAAAGCATTTGATTGGTGAAGCATGGTGATTGCTGCATATATGCCCTAGAAGCTGCTGCGATTCCATTAAAGTCATACATAAGAAGTCCCCACTGCTTATGTATGACTAATGGAATCACAGCAGCTTCTGAGGGACAGTACTGTAAATTATTTTTCAAGTAATTGTTATTTTAAGATGGAAGTGCTTCTAGAAGAGGTCAGCCTGGCAGCCATAGAGGTGTGCTCTCGGACAAATGTAAACTTTGTCGTTTCTCAGAAATGTTACAATGCTAATTGTTAACTTTTCCATTGTCTGAAAAACAAGACAGCATCTATGCAATAAAACCACTACATAAAGATGTGGTGATATTGGTGCTTAGTGTGTCCTTTTAAAGTTGTCCAAACACATGTAATATTTCTTTAAGATGCAGTGATACGCTAGTATTAATACATGACAAAATGCAATGGGGGGGTGTAAAAAATTATCTCAAAAGCATCATGGAAAAGGCTCAAAATCAGTTTTACTGTTTTAAAAATAAAAGTGTTGCATTTGCTTGGGTATTCCAAACGTTTTTATTCTAGCATGATTATTATTAAATGAGAATACTGCAAAAATTAATAATCTATGCTTATCATGCTTTGTTTTCTATGCCAAGATAAAAGGTGGCTTAGAAAACCCCACTAGAAAACAGAATACCTGGGGCAAAAATAAACAATATCTGCAGATATTAATATAGGGATGCTTCACATAAAAGTAATGCAACAGAAATATTATGGAAAAGTTATAATTAGTCAGAAATACCATAATAATTTGTCTCAAAACATAAGAATATTTACCCATAACATCTCTGACAAATTCTGGAGCAGATCTTGGAGACCATTCTTTCAGTCTCTCTGGGATTGTTGCAGGTTTATCCTGTAGTGAGAGAAGACAATATTATGCCACACTAACATTCTCAATTTGTTTCAGTCCTAAAACAAGAACTATTCCCGATGCTGCCAACGGAGGGGGCTCATTAAACACAATGCAGTTTTAGAAGTGGGATTAAAATCAGAAATATTGTAGAAGCAAGCCCAAGATCTAAAAATTGGGCAAATATAATAACATAAAAATAGTATACAAGCTTGACAAAACCATGCCAAATTGTAATTATAAAACCAATACTAAACTATCAATTTATAGAGAAAAAAAAAAAACTGAAAAATTTAGAACACATGTTGAAGACTAGCATCCCCTTTAAGCATTACTGTGCTTAAAGTACTACTATAGGCACCCAGACCACTTCAGCTCAATGAAGTGGTCTGAGTGCCAGGCCCCCTTGTGTTAACTTTGCAGCTGTAAACATAGCAGAGAAATTTCTATGTTTACAATAGGGTTAATCCAGCCTCTAGTGGCTGTCTCATTGACAGCCGCTAGAGGCACTTCCGCATAGGAAAGCAAAGAACCTACAGACCCAAGAAAACAAGTTTGTTTTCCTGGCACTATAGTGGCCCTTTAAATACTCACAGGGTATATGAACGGTATTCCAAAACAATACATATTGTTAAAATCTACCACTGGAAATAAATCCTGTATTTACAGATCACCAATCCCCCTCTCCCCCTGTATTTATATAGATTGGAAAACTTAAAGCACCTACTTCTGTTTTGCACTCCTGCTGCTGTGGACTACACTTGACATGATATTCGGCCAGGAGGGCTGGGTTTTGTATGGAACATAGTTCACAAATGCCAAGCGGTCAGATATTAAATATAACTGAATTCTAACAGATTTCACAGTATTTTGCAACCTTCTCCTATATCTCAATTCATTCAATCTGACCCTCGGTCACTGCATGGCTTAACCCTCCCATCACCCAAACACTACACTCTTACAGGGTTCCTCATCAGCCGCTCCAGCTTCAGCCTCTGCTCGTCCGTGGCATTTTTCGGGATGATGAGGGGCTGCGGCTCCTTTTTCGGTCGCGCTGGCTTGGGAACCGCATTTTCCGCCGCCATACTGTAAGCGTCTCGGATTGTTTACATCGGCGCGGGCTAATGACGACACTGGAAGTGCCCCGTCTGGTGGGCGGGGCCAACACTATGATTGACGTGTAGGACTTGGCACTGCATGCCACTTCTACAGGGGATCACATGGTTGAAGTTTGCTTATTCATTAAATCAACAAATACAAATATCGTTTTTATTTGTATTTTCTTTAAATATTATCACTTCCCAATGCACAATCATGGGGTGGAGGGAATTAAACAAATGGAGAGGCTTGTTTGAGCAGGGCCATGGTCAACCTATTGTTCCTGTTACATTTGGTAATTGTCTTATTTATTGCTAAAGTCCCCCCTTTTTATAATATCAGCTATAAAAATGCCAAAACTAATATTAAAAAAATAGAAAGTGCATACTTGGCATGAATTTGGCTTTGTTTTGAATGGTAACCTAATACATGAAATTATTATTATTATTATTATTATTGCCATTTATATAGCGCCAACAGATTCCGTAGCACTTTACAATATTATGAAAGGGGATTTAACTATAAATAGGACAATTACAAATAAACTTACAGGAACAATAGGTTGAAGAGGACCCTGCTCAATCGAGCTTACATTCTATAGGAGGTGGGGTGTAAAACACATTAGGACAGGAATGTGCAATCAAATAAGGTGGGCTGCCCTTTAGGAGAGGGCAAGAGACGGGTATGTGAGGTAGGGGTTAGTCTTGGAGGCCATAAGCTTTCCTAAAGAGATGGGTTTTAAGGCACTTCTTAAAAGATGCAAGACTAGGGGAGAGTCGGATGGCGGTAGGCAGGCTATTCCATAGGAAGGGAGCCGCCCGCGAGAAGTCCTGCAAGCGCGAGTTGGCCGTACGGGTGCGGACAACGGACAGGAGGTGGTCACGGGCAGAGCGGAGAGACCGAGAAGGGACATACCTGTGGATCAGTGAGGAGATATAAGAGGGGCTAGAGTTGTTCAGTGCTTTATAGGTGTGAGTTAGTGCCTTGAATTGACTCCTATAGCACACAGGAAGCCAATGTAAGGACTGGCAGAGGGGTGAGGTGTGAGAGAACCGACTAGAGAGGAAAATCAGTCTAGCAGCAGCATTCATTACAGGCTGTAGGGGTGCAGTACGGCTTTTGGGAAGACCAAGCAGGAGAGGGTTACAATAATCCATGCGTGAAATTATTAGAGCATGGACAAGCTCCTTGGTAAATGGTAATGGTGAGATTGCTCAGCCTCAGTACCAGTGGCATACCTACCACAGTCGCAGGGGTCATAGCTGCAATTGGGCCTGGTACTATAACTTCATGGCCGGTGCACTGCCATACCAGCCGTGCCATGCAGTTGCCGGGACACCAGTAGGAGGGGAGTGTTGTGCTGCTCCCCACCTGGGGGTCTGACAGGAAGTGCTCACTGAGAGAGAGGGAATGAGACAAATGGAGGGCTGGGGGGGATGAGACAAATTGAGGGACTGGGGGGAGAGGGAATGAGACACATGGTGGGAGGGAGAATGAGACACGTGAAAGAGCAAGGGGGAAAGGGAATGAGACAAATGGAGGGTCTGGAGGAGAGAGGGAATGAGACAAATGGAGGGTCTGGAGGAGAGAGGGAATGAGACAAATTCAGGGGCTGGGGGAAGAGAGAATGAGACACATGAAGGGGCTGGAAGGGAATGAGACAAATGGAGGAGCTGGGGGGGGGGAATGAGACACATGTAGTGGCTGGGGGAAGAGGGAATGAGGCACATGGGTCACTAGGGGGAATTAGACACGTGGAGGGGCTGGGGGGAGAGGAAATTAGACACCTGAATTGACTGTGGGGAGAGGGAAAGAGACAAATGGAAGGGCTGGTGCGAGAAAGAATGAGTCAAATGGAGTGGCTGGGGGGGAATAGGGAAAGAAACACATGGAGGGGCTGGGAAGGGAGAGGGAATGAGACTATTGGATGGGTTGGGGTGGGGGTAGGGAATGAGACATATGGAGGGGCCCAAGGCAATTTTCGCACTGGGGCCCAGTGTTTTTTAGTTAAGCCTCTGATGAGTACCATATACTTGGGTAATAATTCTATATAATTCTATAATAATACCCAAGCTGTATTTGAAAACAATGGACAAGCTCAAAGTGCCTTTCCTGGCTAACTACTCATATAATGTATTTCACCATTTCTGAACTGACAAATTTGTTTTGAATGGGTTAAAAGTCCATTGGATCACAAAGCTTGTGTGTACTGTCATAGATACATAGTTACACAGTAATCCAGGTTGAAAAAAAGACTAAAGTCCAACAAGTTCAACCAGTGACTGAATGTAAATTTACAAATTTGGCATGTAGGGAATAGACATAAGCCTCATTTCCCTACTGACGTCATACACCAAACTTTTTGAGAGGATTGTGTAAACTAGGCTGATTAACTTATCTCTATTCTTGACTCACTTTACTCTGGCTTCTGCTTTTATCATTTTGCTGAATAGTTTTGACCTAAGTGAACAATTGCTTACACAGACATCCCAACATGCCCAAACTAATTTCAGGGTGGTGGCTTTACCAGCTACTGTGCCGTCCCCCTCACCCACACACACAGCCATCAAACATGTATGAACAAGGGCATGATATTTTATTATAAAAGAACACAAACTATTTATTTAACAACATATTGCAACTATTTACACACACTCTGAGGCTGATGGTAGTGAGCATGCAGCAGCTCACCCCAGTCTCTCCTTTGCCTCCATGCTGGTTATGGTGACACCACCACCTCCAGCTCCTCCTTCCCGCAAGGTACTCTGTGCAGTAGGGAGGAAGTGACCAGCTGCCACTTCCTCACAGCCTTCCGATAGTACATGAGCCTGGTCGAGCTCATTAAAGGGCTGCGGTACACAACTGGGTCCCTGTTTAGCAAGAATACTCATCAAGTGGCTCGCAAATTATATACAATATACCAGAACTCCCACAATCTGAATACATTGTACGTCAGATTATGTATGTGTGTTTGTGTGATATCCAGGATATTGTATATAAGCAGCTATGAAAAAGCGTGAGACTCCCGGAAACTCCGGGAGAGTTGGGATGTCTGCTTACATATTGCAAATCAAATGGTCACTAATGTATTCGTATTCTTCTTGACTTGTATGCTGCTTTTAATACTGCCAACCATCAACACCTCCTGATCCTTTACAACCTCTGTCTAATTTGTGGATGGAAGGAGTGAGAGGTGAGCTTCCTGTGTCTTATGAGCATCCCCCAAATCATGGAGTAAGCAACAGAGAACTGGAATGAAGATATGGGTGCCTAATAATTTAGCATCTGCCAACAACTGATATTTAAATCCACACCTGTTTTTGTTTAGGACTTCACGTTTGTGGTTCAATTTATAACTTTCTAGTGTGGTAGAGAATCTCTAGTCGTAGATTTGGAGATTTGCGTTCTCATTCTCTTCCCTCCAGGAGGTGCTGTTGTTGTGTATTAACTGCTGGGTAACAGCGCCACAGAACTGGAAATCAAGATAAAGAATGCAGCTTCTGATCTCCTCTTTCTGAAAAAGTGCTGAAAATCAGATCTCAGAAAGCAAGTCAGGGACATTTTTAAGCCCGTGGCAAGTGTGTGAATTGAAAGCTGTTGCAACAAAATGGTGACAATACCGGAGTTTATTCTGCAGGAAACAATGTGTCCGTGAAGCATGAATATTTTGTATCACTGGTGTATTAACCATTGAATCACTACAGATTTTTAAAATATTTTCTAAATATGTGTCGCTTTAATTATTTGGAATAGATGATATTTTTTGATGTTTCAACTACAATCTTGTTCGAATTGCATCCCATTTTATTACATCAAAACTGGATGTTAAACCTCACGTTGTGTTCTCATTCCCTTATCATACAATGTTAAAGGTAAATTACCCAGACTACGTAGTCTCATTGAAGATGTCTGGATGCAATGTTCTTGTCCCCTAAAACCTACAATGTAAAACAATGAAGTTTCACAGAAACTGCAATGTTTACATTGCAAAGTTATGATGGCCTGTAGTTGATGTCTTCCAGACGACCACTAGAGGTCACTTCCTGACTTTTCACAGCGTTTAACTCCATGAAACAACGCTTTGCATCAGGGCCGGACTGGGAAAAAAATTAGGCCCGGGCATTTTTCAATTAGAGCGGCCCCCCCAAGAAGGGGGCAGGGCCAGAGAGGGTGTGTTTTGTCATCACTAATGACAAGCACGCCTGCTCTCAAAGTGAGCATATTGGTTCAATGCGCAGAGCCCCGCTGAAGAGCTCTGGCATTAGAAAAAGGCCCTGTATTTGTTCTGCGCAGCGCAAGCAAATATAATAACATGCTTGCGCTGTGTTTGCTTTTAAATTGTCTCTGGTGTCTCCACAAGTGGGATACCAGAGGACAAAAGGGCAAGGAAAGTGTATTGTGCATGTGTTTGGAGCCTGCTTGTGGGATTGCCTGTGTGTAGAGTGTGGTGTGGTATTGTGTAAAAAGGTGTAATATGTGTGGTGTAATATGTGTGGCTAGGGGCTGTAGAGAGTGCGTGTATAGGGACATAGTGTTATAGGGGATGTAGCGAGTGTGTGCATACGGGCAGTAGTGTGTGTAGGGGTTGTAGAGAGGGTGTGTTTAGAGAATGTTGTATGTGTTTGCTTACAAGGAATGTAGTGTGTGTGTAGGTGGTGCAGTGTGTGTGTAAGAGATCTAGTGTGTAAAGGACCAAGAGTGTGTATAGAAGATTGTGTGTGTGTGTGTGTGTGTGTGTGTGTGTATGTGTGTAGAGGATTAAGAGTGCATATAGGGTAAGGGATCTAGCGTGTATCTGGAGCGTAATGTGTGTAGTGGTGCAGTGTGAGGGGTGCTGTATGGTGTGTGTATGTATATATATATATATATATATATATATATTTGGACGTATTGTATGTGTGAGGTGCGCAGTGTGTTAGTGTAAGAGGGGTGCTGTGTGTGAGGGTGTTTTTATCTGCCGTCACATTCTAGATTTCTAATTTTCCTTGTCTGTTAACTCACTGAGGGTTATTTAATATATATATATATATAT